CTGTATATTTGTGTTCATGCTAAGCTAATCTATATATTTCCAAGATGGTTGAGTGGAATCTTTCAACCAATCCCATAGAGTTAGGGTTGTTAGGGGTACCAATATGAAGTTCTATTTTATAAAAGGAAAGTAATTCTTTAAGTAACGCATTGTTAAACTCAGATCCAGGATCTGAACTTATTTTGTGGGGAACACCGTAAAAAAAAAAATATTTAAGAAGAGCTCTGATGACTTCGGGTGTCTACATATTAATTATTTCAAAGGCCTGTCCTAATTTGCTAATGTCATCGATTATTGTTAAGTAATAGTGACCTTTGATTTTAAAGAGATCTATGAAAATTTCTTCAAGAGGTTTATTTTGGGTTTGCGTCAGTTGGAGTTTAGGTTTCATGGGGTTGCGATCATATTTCATACTTTTACATGCGTCACATGAATTTATTACACTGGCTATGATTTGGGCCATATTATGCCAAAAGTATGACCGTTTGATATGGGCTAGGGTTTCTTTGATACCACGATGGCAAGTTTTTCCGACGTGATATTTCTGAACTATGTCTCTTTGTTCTTTTTCATTATCTACGTATACGAGTACGACTCTTTTAGTACATTCGAAAAATTGTACAAGTTCCCTTTTAAATAAGAAAATTACTAATTCCGAGAATTGTTTACGATGTTTTTCCTTTTCGAAGTAAATGAAGTATTTAGTTTTGTTCCTAGTGTATTCTTTCAGAAACTGCTTTACTAAATCTTGTCGGTTTAAAGGTAAGTGTACTTCTAAGATTCTTTGTTTATTCCCTAGACAAGTTTTTTACAGATAATTTGTCTATGTTCCAGCTGAACACTAAAATTTGGGTATCGATAGCTTCCTGTAAAATTGGAATTCCCTGTGATTCAGTGTCTTGTCCTGAACGTGCGGTTTCTATACTAGAGGGTTTTTCAGAGGCGGTAACTGTGCTACTAGAAGCGTACGGTATGGAATAATCAGATTTAATTGATAGGGTTTTATCTGAGTCGGTATCCTCTATAACAATAGCCTTCTCAGAGTCTGTGTCTGATATAGACATTGGTTCAGGAGGTGGTGGTCTAAATGTTCCTTTTTGCAATTCGTCTAATTCTTTAATGTCTTTTATTAAGTCCTGAATTTCCTTATTTTTATTTTCGTCTTTATCTACATTTGCATGAGTGGATGAAATTTCCTTTTTATTTAAAGCATTAATTCTAATTCTTCGTTCTTAACGCGGGACTAATTTAATTTCGTTAGTTGGATTGAAAATTATGGGTATATTTGTGTAATTTGTCTGTAATATTTGATTTTTCATATCGATTGTGGAATCTAATTGTTTAAGAAGATCACTTCCGATAAGTCCGTCATAGCGGGCGTCGACATCATATACATAAAACTTATGTATCTGATCACTATTGAAAGTCGGGAATAGGGGTATAATTATTACTTCATCATGTAAACTAGATGTATGTGTACTGATAACTTCAAATGGTTCGTAACGTTTAAAGTTCGCATAATATTCGTTTGTTTTAGAAGGGCTTATGAAAGATTTAGAACTTCTGGTATCGATCATAAACTTAGCATTAATTTCGGGTATTACTATATATGGTAATTTTAATTTAGGATTACAATTTCTGTGTATTTGATTTGATTTGATCCGAGGCTACTATTCGAAAATTTTCGCAATAAGTAATTTCGTCTTCCGTTTGCGTGTGGTCTACGTCACAGTACTGGGTGTCGTCATAAGTATCGTCACCGATTTCGTTAAGCGCGTATAACTCGTTCATACGAAAATCTTGAGGTTTCACACGTGGGGCTGTACGCATACTTACATCGGTCGATTGAAGTTGTGGTGGTTGTAAATGAGGTTTTGGTCTATAACCAGTGGGTTGGTGACCTTGGTTAAAGTTTGGTCTATATCCGAACTGTGGGGTTACACCTAATTGCGGTTTATATCCTATGGGTTGTTGAGGGGGTTGTGACCTAATTCCAAATTGTTGTGGTTGCTGTGCTGGTAGCTTAATTTGCTTGCTTGGCGGTATTCCATATTTAATCTTGGTTGAAATTGCATATTACGTTCTGGTTGAGATTGCTGAGGCTGTTGAAAGTGAGGTCTCGTGTTCGGTGTGTTTTGGGGTATGTTAATTTTAAAACTTTGTTGTGGCATTTGTGTTATTTGTGAGAAAAATGGTTGGTACGACTTTCCATTGACGTCAGTGGAGTTTGGTGTTGATACGTATTTTTACAGAGAGATTACACTATTATAAGCACACACACAAAGTCTCAATATACGGAAACGCGTAATTTTTGAGAAAAGAATAATTGAAAATCAATTATTCTTGCAATGTTTATGTCTAATCTGCTAATAAACTGGCGCCATTTTGTAATGTCATTGTCGACGTCAATAGGGATGTCGATTCTTTCCTAAAAAGATCGATTTTTTAAATAGATTCAAATTGTAAGCTGATGTATCGATTCCCAAAATATCGATTTCTAAGATATTTTTTTCATGTTTGCATTTATAATGTAAATATAAATCCATTTTATGAGAAAAAAATCCCCTTCATCTTAAAAAAATAAGGGAACTGATTCATAAGAATTTCTGTATCTATTTTGAGACTGCTACGTCTCCGGCGCAGCGGGAAGAGCAACCTCTACGCCCTAGCGTAACAAATCGCAGGTATCCCTCCTCGCCTCCGCAGCTTCGGCTTGTTGGTCGCCTTCGGCGACCAGCCTCAGCCGCTCCGTCTCGTCCGATGGCTACGATTTGTTACAGCAGGCGGAGGCTGCTCCCCCTACGCGCCTCCGGCTCTATAAAACCACTCTAGGGGTAGGACAGACTCGTACCAGGTGGAGTCGGGGTCAATCAATTCGGTTCTTTGACATAAGTTGAACCTAACCTATTTTATTTGTTATCTGCCCTAATAGGTACTGTTAAATAAAACAAATTTCAATAAGAGATCATTTATCATGGTATCTTTCTTGTTTTTCATAAAATGGGTTGATATTTACATTATAAATAGAAACATTAAAAAAATATAGATATTTTAGAAATCGATTTTTTGTGAACCGATACATCAGCTTACGATTTGAATCGATTTAAAAATCGACCTTTTTCGGAAAGAATCGACATCCCTATTGACGTCGACAATGACATTACAAAATGGCGCCAGTTTATTAGCAGATTAGACATAAACATTGCAAGAATAATTGATTTTCAATTATTCTTTTCTCAAAAATTATATTGAGACTTTGTGTGTGTGCTTATAATAGTGTAATCTTTCTGTAAAAATACGTATCAACACCAAACTCCACTGACGTCAATGGAAAGCTAAGCCAAATGGTTTCATTGAAAATTTGTCAATGAAGGGATTTTGAGACACTGGCTGAGGTTTATGTTGGGCGCTGTTCGGTAATCGTAACATTTTATTTCTCGCCTGATATTGGTATAAGAAATTGACTTCTTCAAGCACTATACTTAAAGCACTTTCTAAAGTGTCACATCCTTTTAACCGTACAATGCGCAATAAATCCTCGGGCAAATTATTTAAGAAAACATTCATAGACATATGGTTATATATAGTAATTTTACTCTTACGAAGGTTGATTCTAATACTCTATTAACTTTCGCTATTAACGTACTCTTTATGTATTGTATTCTATTGCAGAAATCGAGATTTGATCACAGATTACTGTATACCAGTCTACGAGATTTGATTCGCCGTTATTCATTTTTAAAGTTTCCAACTCTATCGTGATACACTCTTCAGACCATGGATCACCGAAATGTTGCTCAAAAGTTAATTTTAATTCTCCCCAGGTTTCAATATCCGGTCTTTCACTAATAAGAGCAGCAGCTCTGCCTACTAACTTTGATGTAATCACTTGAAATATGTATAAATCTTGTTCTGTATTTCCTATTTCTCTACACAACTGTATAACATATTCACATTTACGAATAAATAAGTTAAGTAAATTTTCATCACCGTCAAATTTTGGAATAATACCAGAAAGTTCCTTGGGAATCTGTGTTATTTTAGGCATTTTTATTAAAGTATATTTATAATTAGTTTAATTTAATAGTAATATTTAATAAAATTTATAATAAATCTTTAATTTACAAGTTGAATTTAATTTAACTTACTTATTTCTAAATAAAAGAAATAATAACGCAATTCGAATTTTGGAAATATCGCTACCACTTTCTAGACACTTATAATTAAAATGGAATAGGATTGGAAAATGCAAATGGAATAGCGATTGGGTCTACTCACATACTGCCCATGTCCCTCCGATGAGTCTTAGTTCTGTAGCGTGACGTCCTCGCTGCTTTTCTTATCGACGAATTTATTTGGTTCGTGGATTTTCGTTGAAAACGTTAGAAAACGCTCATCGTATTTAACAGAATTTAAGTGAAACGCGACGCGAAAATCCTACCGGCTGCGCCAGTCAAGTTATGCAGGGGACGGAGGACGTTTTAAAAATACTAATTTTATTAATTAAAAGATGTTTAATCGCTACAAGAACTCTCTTAAGACTAACTTAATATTCTATGCTTAAAAACTAATGCATGAGAGCCCACACAGGAGCTCGGCAGTTTCCGTTTGTCCACTCAGCACATGCCTGTGGTCTACAATCAGAATATTGTGCTGATGCGGACATCTTGGTGGGTCTCGCCACCCGTAACAATATTGACGTGACAAAATCAGAATTTCTGGATATCAACAATAACATTGAACAATATCGCAATACAGGCCGCATACACACAATATTATTGACAATATAGAAACACTACGCGTTGGGCGCATTATAAACTTTAGAAGTAATAGTGTTCTGTGATTATAAAAAATTGTGTGTATTCTGTGATAAATTGTAATAATAACAAGAGAATGGCCTCAAGGTCTAGATGCCAGGCCATAAACTCCAAAAAAAAAAAAACAAGAGAATGGCCTAAAGGTCTAGATACCAGGCCATAAACTCCAAAAAAAAATAACAAGAGAAAAGTCGTAGATAGAAGAAAAGTCCGGTTTGTTGATGAAAAAGAGAATTCAATAATCAATTATAAATAAAGCTATAGAAAACAGCAATGGCCTTTAGTGAAGGTGAAGTTTGTAGAATTTGTTTAAGCGTTAATATACGCATGTTTGCACTAAAGGAAACTGGCCTCCAAAATTTGTATAAGACATTGACGAACAGTTTTGTAAGTTTATTAATATTTATTTATTGCTAAATGAAATTGCGGTAATTTGTTGTTATCACTGGAGAAATACATTATCATGCCCGATATACATTCTAAGATGTAGCGTTAAATATAGTGACAAATACAACCAGAACCTGAAAAATAACAATTAGCCTGGTATCCTGTTCATATCATCTTGCGGGACAAAATGGCCCCTAGTGTATCTGGGTCTTAGTTTAGTATAGTTTACGACGGGCTGATTTCCGCAACTCCACGTCTATGCGCGTATTTTGCATGTGGGCAGGAATGATATGCTTATTCGAGCCATGAGATCTCCCCGAAGAAATTCAACAGTCCTTTGATGTTGCATGCAACTTCGGGGAGTGATCTCGGCTCGAGATGTTTAGCCCTGTACATAGCGACCTCCGGACATTTCAATATCACATGGGCCGCCGTTTCTTCTTTCCCCAGACATGCGCTGCACAGGGGACTATCTGTAACACCTATAGTAAATAAATACTTGTGAAAGTTGCTGTGTCTTGTGATAGCACTTGTTACTATCTTGATCTGCGGCTTGTTCAGTCTCATTAGAACTTTGGTCAAACGACTGTTTATTTCAGGCAGGGCCTCCCTAGCTTGTCTACAGTCTACAAAATTTTTCCAAAGCTGAGTGTGTAGATTAGTGAAGTGTCAAATATCTGGGTCTTAATTATACTACATTCTCCTTCCATTCCTTCTATGCAACCCGCACTGCTGCATAGATTTTGTTTCTGGTGTCTGTTCTAGTACATATTACTTGAATGACTATTATTGTGATTTTCTATCAAGAAATTAACATTTACCCTGGTTTGGTTGTTCAGCAAATTAAAACAGTTCTATCGGACTATTAAAATGAGAGAATAGAATAGAAAGAATTATTATCATTATTTTATATGTGGTAGAGCCAGGTTGCAGCTATATTATGGTTGTATCATGAATTGGTCGGCTCGACCAGGGTGGTACTACACTTTCACAGAATGTGTAGTACTACCCACCATCCTGTGTTTTGTTTCAATATCCTCCTACCACAAGCATTATCAGTTTACTTAGAGTGATAAGAGAAGTTTTTGTAATGTTCTTAGTGATGATAGCAGTTTGAAGTTAATGTAGGTAATGTAGTTGATGGATGTAGGTGGCTTGGAACTGTAGGAGTTTCTTTCTGCCTAGATATCATCCTCTTACCATTTTCTGGCACCAAGCAGCAGTATGTGTTCCAGTCTGAAGGACATCGAGAACTAGGCTGTGATGCATTACATCTTAGTCCTCAGAGGTAACATTGTATCTGTAGCCATTGCTTGAAGTTTGTTTCAGGTGCCCATGATGCCCATTAGTCACTTACTAGATGGTAAGTTTATTTGTCACTTCAATATTATAAAAAATGATATTGACAAATTAAAATGTATATATATTATATACTGTAGAACGCCGATTATCCGAATTAATTGGGACTGGGGTCGATTCGGATAATCGGACATAGACTGGTATGTAATATAGAAAAACGAACTGTCACACATAGAATAAACTTTATTAAGTTTATAAATGGTTTTACACTTTATAAAGTTTTATAAAGAGTAAAACCAGCTACACCCATTTTTTCACTTAACATTCGTGCCTTTTCACATAAAATCGATCCTGAAATTGGTTGTCCAATAGATCGTTGCTGCAGAAACCACGTAACAGCATTCTCAAGCTGTTCATCTTTTGCCTTTTTCATTACTTTTCGCGACGAACATCCATCACCATGTTCCAACGCAGTCACAGAACTTAAAATTTTTTCACTGTTATTTTTAATATCAGTTAACCAAGTATTGTATAAGTAATCTTAGTAATGTGACTTACTGTACTAGGTTATAATTTTTTATATTAAGCTTCGGACCCATTCAGATAATTGGCGATTCGCTTAATCGGCTTTCGGATAATCGGCGTTCTACTGTATTTGAATACTATTTCATATTTATGAAGATTTTCATATTTTCAGTTGGATGAGATTGAGTGGCCAATAATTGTTTGTTTCACCTGTCATGCAAGACTCATTCGTTGCAGAAGATTACAACAACAGGCTATTGAGTCAAATGTGGTTCTGGAGCAGTTGCTTTCAGGAGGATCCATGGTATTATCCATTCCATCCATTAAAACCTATAAAAGTCCACTGCTGAACATAGGTCTCACTCATAGATTGCTTCATAAGAGGGATTTTGCCAAATTTGCCACACTTGGCAAGTTGGCAACCGTAGTTTATATTAGTCTAAGTTGTCATCAGGAAGATGCGGCCGCCCTACCTCTGTTTCTGTTTCTTTCTGTTGCCTCTTACGACACCCATCCCATGGATAGGTATATAGGATAGTGCAGGGGTCGGCAACCCGCGGCTGGCGAGCCACATGCGGCTCTTTGGATGTGAAACTGCGGCTCTAGTTTCATACGCAAATATTATTTATTTTATAAAAAAAATTATAAATCGATCCATACTGAGCCATTTGGGGTTGATACTGGATCTCTAGAAATGCAATTGATCGATTTAAAAAGTAAAGCTTTGTGGAGTTGAAAATTTACAGAGTTGATAAGGAAGTTGAAAAAGTTGGAGGTCCAGAGATGTATGTACGTAACGCAACAAAAATGAACAGCTTTAAAAGAAATGCTGCGAGTTGAGTTGAGTTATATTTGACGCATGGAATAGTCTTCCAGATTGCTATAGTGAGGTGAAGAAGTTGGCATTTTGGGTGCTGACTATCTTCGGATCGACATATTCGTGCGAGCAAGCGTTCTCTTGCATGAATATAATTAAAAGGAAAGTAAGAAGCCAACTAACAAATGAAAATTCAGATTCGTGTTTGAAATTTAAAACAACAAGCTATGAGCCAAATTTATCCAAACTTTCTAAAACCATGGAAAGCCAAAACTCCCATTGAATTTGTTTGCTCAATTGTTTGTACTTGAAGTATAAGTTAGTGTTGTAAGACTTACAATGTAAATAAATGTTTGTTTTAATTTTTTACTTAAATAATAAGTGATTATCTAATAATACCATATAAAGGTTGCCAACCCTGTGATAGTGGATATTCTTACACCGTCACTGCACAATCCACTTTTCTATGCTGCTTCCCATTGCTATATGGGAGAATGTTTCTAGTGCAAAGTTAAGTTTGTCCTTCAATCCAACTTACTTTTGTTAGAGCAATAGTATTTATTTTTACAAAAACAATTATCAAACTGTTTATACTGTTATATATTACCCTATTGTATATAAACAAATCTCAATAAACAAAGATAAATCTTTGTCAATTTACAGCTTTCGTGAATCTGAATCCAAAAGTTGTTGAGTTTCGATTCTCGGGATAGATGAACTATGTACATTCTTATTTAAGTTTACGCTGAACCCTCACTTTTGTCCGGTGTTTATTATTATTTGAAGTTGTTGTCAGGAAGATGCTGCCCCCCGATCTCCTGTTTCAGTTTCCCTCTGCCCCTTTTTACGACATCTGCGGGATGGCAGGGGGTAGTATGGGTTCTCCTACTCCACCACTATATTGGCTTTTTCTCTTATTTGAAAAAATTATTACCTTTCAGTCAATACCAAAACCGCATAAGGTTAGAGATGAGATTAAATTCGCACCAATTTATCATATAGATATCTGGCCTGTAGAGTGTGATATAGACAATGATTGCAAGGACGAAATTTTTTGCCTTGATGCCGTTAAAGTTGAGGAAGAGATTTTCGAATATGAGAATTCCAAATTTGAAGAAAATGAGAATCATGTAACAGGTAAGATATACCCCTTTTCTCGATATTATTAAAATAAGGTACAATTTACCTTATGGCAAGTGGTTACTGTAGCCCGTAGACACAAAATAAAGAGGGCTTCGTGTGTAATGTACTGATTAACTGATTTGCCTTTGTCTAAATTCAAAGTGCACGTCAAAAGCACTCTTATTAATACATTAAAAAAATATTTTTACCCTGTCAGCTAGTATGTATGTCACTAAGATACATACTGGTAAGCAACCAATTATCTTTGCCATCTTCTTAGTGTCAGTACTAGGTGGTGTGACACCATGTTTGCCTAGGAGTTGATCTATTTGTGCCTGCCTAGTTGGACTCCTCCCTCCTCCTCATACCTATTTCTGCCGTCAAATAGCAGTGCATGCACTGCTGTGTTCCATTCTGATGGGTATAGAGTCAGAATAATCACAGGGTGTGGGTTGTTCCATTTTAGTTGTGGTAGAACCATGCTGCAGCTACATTAGTTGTATAGTTATAGCACAAATGGGTCGGCTCGACCGGGGAAGGACCACGCTCTCACAGAATACCAGCGTGAAATAGCAGCTTAACACTGCTGTGTTTCGTGTGGTGATTGTAGAGAACCGGATACCCTTTTTACTGGAAAAGAGGCATTCCATCGTAGTCCTCATGGGTGACAATGCATCTGCATTTTGATTCTTTATTGAGGACAGATGTAGATGTCTATGGGTCACAGCGACCATTTACCATCGTGTGGACTGTGTGCTCGTTTGTCACCCTATCCTATAAAAATTAAAATTAAAAGATGAGCGCATTGCATCATTAAATCTTCATCATTACAGCCTTCACAAGTCCACTGCTGAACATAGGTCTCAGCCACGGAATGCCACAAAGCACAGGAACCCATTGCCTTCCTGCATTTCTTACCAGTTCATCATACCATCTAATGGAGGGCCGCTCTACACTTTGTCTACTGGTACGAGGCTGCCACTCGTAAAACTTCCTCATTCATTGTCATTTCTTCGAGCTATATGGCCGGAATTTCAAATTACAAAGAATTAATTCAGCATTTGAAACCATGATGTTGAAAGTAACTACAACAGAAGTGAGACGACGGGCCCGTGCTTGTGTTAGTAATCGCTTCAATTATTTTGAGCATCAACAAATAAATAATTAGAATTTTTATTAGTCTGTCTAAAAATTTAAATTTTCTACCTCAATCTGGTTTTAGGGGACAATTGAAGAAAAATTTGTAACAAATGCGTGTCAGTTATACCTCAAATGAAAGAGTAATAACCAAGCATGTTCTTCTTCTTCTTCTTTCTTTTTTATGGTGGTTTTGATCATTCGCCAATGTCAGCGTGAAAGCGTTTATTGAGTAGAAGCTCAGTAGTTACAAATACTATGCCCATATACAAGAGAAGATTGTGATAGTACAAGTATCTTTTTTCCTTTAAACCAATTTTTTCCCCTTTTATCTTGTAGTACTAATGGTTATACTGTTGAATTACCTAGAACAAATGACAAACACGGTTGCTATAACTACATTAGTATATTAGTATTGACAAACATTAAACTTTTATACCATTAGTGTTAATAAAATCACACAGAATATATACATAAGCCTATTTGTGTAGGTTATAAGTGAATCAAAATTTATAAGACGAGGAATGTCAGGAGGGAGATGATCATAGAGTTAACAAGATAATTTAGGACAGTTAAAAAAAATATGGTCGGAGGTTCCCTCATCCAACCCACATTCGCAGAGGGAACTATCCCTAATCCTCAGTTTGGCCAAATGTACTGGTGTACAAGCGTGGCCAATTCTAAGTCTACAAATAGTTGATGTAGAATGTTTATTAGCTTTATTGAATTTGAAAAACCATGGTTTTGGAGGGATGGCACATTGTATAGCAGCATAGTGTTTACCTTTTATATTTTGAGTGGCTTTCCATAATGTATTCCAATTATTATTTAACTTCTTCTTTGCAAGTAACACTATGTCTGAGGAGTAAGTTAAATTACATGGCAAACCATTTCGACTGGCATTTTTAGCCATCAGATCAGCTGTTTCATTGCCCTTGATGCCACTATGACCTGGAATCCAAGCTAAGGAAACCTGTATGCCCTTGAGATGACATCTATACAATGTGTGTTTAATTTTGAGGATCAAGGGTATCTTATATTTACTTTGGAATTGGTTTGACAAAATTGCTAACAAACAACTTTTGGAGTCGGTAAGAATAACTGACTTATTTAAGTTGTGTGCTTCTATATATATTAAAGCTTCATGAATTGCCGTGGCCTCGCCAGTAAAAGTGGAAGAAATAGAAGGCCATTTAAAATTAAGAATTATTTTGAATCTGGGAATCCAAACTGCTGCTCCAGTACAACTTTCATCTGACTTTTTGGAGGCATCAGTGTATATAATAAGCCAGCCTTTCCATAAATTATCTATGACTCTACTTACTTTACTATTTGCTATAGGGCAATCTTTCTCAATACCAAGGTCGAGGTGGATATTTGGTTGGAAAATGATTGCATCATATGGGATATCAAATATGGGGCAGGACTTGAATTGTGATACTGGGTATGGTAGGTGGAGTAATGTTACCAAACTGTTGGATAAGCAGGGAGATTCTTTATGAGTCCAGTAATGTTTTGATGAAATATATTCCAAAAGGAGGTGTAGTTTAGAAATGAGAGGGTGGGAAGAGAGTTGGTAGATTTTAAAAAAGTATCGGTCCGAAAGATATTGCCTTCTTAGATAAAGGGGAGGGTCCACACATTCAACTTGGAGAGCATTTATTGGGGAAGATTTCATTGCCCCGATGATTATACGAAGGCTTTTGGATTGAATCCTGTCTAGGATCTTTAGGGAAGACTTATTGCACGGTTCCAAAACAAAACATCCATAATCTAAATGACTACGGATAAGGGCGTTGTACAGTATTTTTTGGGAGAATGGGTGGGAGCCCCACCAGACACCCGATAAAGCGCGAAGAATGTTTATATTTTTTTCACATTTTTTTGAGACATAGTTGATGTGATGAGAAAAGGCTAGTTTGGAGTCAAGAATAACTCCTAAAAATTTTACATTCTCCCTAATTGGGATAGGTTCATTATTATAGAGAATGTTGATTTCAGGGACTTGCCTATGGCGAGAGAAGATTACAGCACTGCTTTTGGGAACAGACAAAGACAAACCATGATCAGTTAACCAATCCTGTAAATAAGACTAATCTAACAATAAATTAAAGTACCATCAGTTTTTTTTAACGTAGTGTCAAAAATGTTTATTATTTAAAATGTTAATTATACTTCGTTGCTGCATCCTATGAGATTTAATAAACTATGTAGTCCGCTTTCTGTCGTACTGCATCATCACACAAATTTTAGATATTATTTTTACAAAAAATTCAATAATAAAAAGATAGTCTATTGACTTTTGCACGCCACTGTCAGCCTGCTGTGCCGGCCGGGCGTTTCGATCATTCGTTTTCTGTGTGTTGCATCATCCGCATGTGCGCCGCAACAAACAACAAATAAGATTTGTTTAGTTAAGTTTAAGTAAAAATTAAAAAATAAAAAGAACAAGTGAGAAGACTGCTGACAAAATTAGAATTAAAATAAGGAATTTGGAAAAGGAGTTTAAGTCTTGACATAAAATCGCAAGATGATCCCGTAGTAAAGGTTAGTTTAGCGACCTGTTTAAATAATCTATACATATAATAAAACTGTAAATAGCAGATGTCTGTACATTTTATATTTTTGTAATAAAAGTGATTGAGGGGTACTAAAAATAAGTAATTAAATACATTTCTACCATATTATATAAAAAAACACAAACTTTGTTTGTAGTTAATTTAGTGCGAAATCTAGGGCTTTTTTAAAGCGCTGTTTTCATGAAATCTAGCGCTTTTTGTGTTCTCCTAGAGCTGAATGAGTTTTTTTATATCTGGCAGCACTGCCCAAAAACCCTCTAGTAAGAATTAACTTTCCTTTCAGTTTTTAGCGCGTTCAGTTCCCAGTTACAGTGAGCGTGTGTTATGCGATGACCGTAAATAAAGCGCAAGGTCAAACTTTACGCGTTGTAGAAGTATACCTCAGTACTGACTGTTTTGCACATGGCCAACTCTATGTTGCTTTTTCCCGCGTTAGTAGCCCCCGTAACCTTTTTGTGTACACCCCGGCTAAGCCTACTTCTAACGTCGTTTACACAGAAGCTCTATCATAAACGACTTAGAACTTTGATGATAATGATTTATTTAGTTACCACTTATTGATACAGTAATGAAATAAATCGTTTAATATTCTCTTACCTAAACGACAAATTCTTCATGTAAAACCTGTATACGCGAGCTACGCCGCGGGCACAGCTAGTAATTAATATTATGATTCTTATTTATGGTGCATTTACAAGTGACATAAAGATAATCTTTTAGTACGTACAGTCTGCCAAAAAATAGTACATAAATAAAGTTAATGGGTGAATTTTGTATCTAAGTACCTACATATTAATTAATAAAAATCAAGTTATTTCATTTCCTCAGTGGTGGCACGTGACGTCATCCATAAATAATTTACTTACTTTCTTAATGCGGTTACACGTGACGTGATGTTACCCAGAAAGTTAAGAACTAATAATCGAGATTGTTTCTTTTATTATTGTCTGAATATATTATATACGATTATTTCGCTCAGTGGTGGCACGTGATGTCATCCGAAAATAATTTATTTACTTTCTTAATGTGGTTACACGTGATGATACCCAGAAAGTGAAGAGCTAATAATTGGGATTGATTCGTTTATTATTTTCTGAATATATTATATACCATTATTTCCTCAGTGGTGGCACGTGATGTCATCCGGAAATAATTTACTTACTTTTTTAATATGGTTACACGTGACGTGATGTTACCCAGAAAGTGAAGAGCTAATAATTGGGATTGATTCGTTTATTATTTTCTGAATATATTATATACCATTATTTCCTCAGTGGTGGCACGTGATGTCATCCGGAAATAATTTACTTACTTTTTTAATATGGCTACACGTGACGTGATGTTACCCAGAAAGTGAAGAGCTAATAATTGGGATTGATTCGTTTATTATTTTCTGAATATATTATATACCATTATTTCCTCAGTGGTGGCACGTGATGTCATCCGGAAATAATTTACTTACTTTTTTAATATGGCTACACGTGACGTGATGATACCCAGAAAGTGAAGAGCTAATAATTGGGATTGATTCGTTTATTATTTTCTGAATATATTATATACCATTATTTCCTCAGTGGTGGCACGTGATGTCATCCGGAAATAATTTACTTACTTTTTTAATATGGCTACACGTGACGTGATGTTACCCAGAAAGTGAAGAGCTAATAATTGGGATTGATTCGTTTATTATTTTCTGAATATATTATATACCATTATTTCCTCAGTGGTGGCACGTGATGTCATCCGGAAATAATTTACTTACTTTTTTAATATGGTTACACGTGACGTGATGTTACCCAGAAAGTGAAGAGCTAATAATTGGGATTGATTCGTTTATTATTTTCTGAATATATTATATACCATTATTTCGCTCAGTGGTGGCACGTGATGTCATCCGGAAATAATTTACTTCCTTTCTTAATGTGGTTACACGTGACGTGATGTTACCCAGAAAATGGAATGCTAATAATTGGCATTGTTTTGCTTATTATTTTCTGAATATATTATATACAATTATTTCCTCAGTGGTGGCACGTGATGTCATCCGGAAATATAAAACTTACTTTCTTAATGTGGTGACACGTGATGTTATCCAGAAAGTAAATAATAAACTGTATTAACCTTGTTTTATAAGATTCTGAATATAACTCTTGTAACGAGTATAAGGAAATAAAGTTCGACGCGCACAAACATGATGGTGGCAGTGGTTACTGTCGGAAAGGAAGAGCTGGATCTGAGCGCTACTGGCCTAGTTCATTGATTGAAATGCCCACGCCAGCACCCCTCTTGCTTACAGCCGAGAATAGTATCCTCAAAGAGTCTTCAGAAGGGGTCCGTCAATATTCACTCTCTAAAAACTAGAAAAGTGTGCCTCCCCGAAATCTCGGCAGCCCTTAGTGAAGTAAAAACGTTGGAGGAGTGGACAGAAGATCACTACAGAAGTCGCTGAACGTTGGGGTAAGATCCTAATAGAAGAGTAGGTGAAGGAACATAAGGAGAGATTGCTTATAAGAAAACTCAACAGGCCATACCAACTAGGTTTTAGTATAGCAGATTTAGCAAATTTAACTTCGGCGTTAATACGTAAAGAAATGAGAAAATTTGATATTAATTAAACAAATATCAGAGATAAATCAAATACAACTGGACCTTTACCATGAAGAAACAAAGAACCGTTGACAATTAAATATCATCATATGTTAGACAGAAGCTTTATTAATAGAACTCCAAGACATTGAACGGGAAAAAATTTTCTTTGGTGACCATTTAAGTCAAAACATCAAAACGACCAAGTCAATAGAGAAAAAGCAACCTGCACGACAAAAGATTACAATTCTTTGCTCCTAGGAAATCTATGATCACAGGTCCACAGGGATACTCAAAGGCGCCCTTCTAGCTACCGAGCGGACAGGGAGTAGTGCGTGCAACCCATGCACTGGCTCGGTACCAGCACCGCCTTAGTAGTCTGCCATTTGCACGTTGCAGCCAGCAGCACGTCGCCCACCACCACTCCCACCGCCGACAAACCGGCCGCAAAACTACTGCGGCCGCCGGGGTAAAGTTACCACACGCTGGCTGTATCTAATACTTATTACACAATTGGTTAGACTAAACAACCTATCCCCAAATATTGAACATTAAAGGACTATTTATTAATGTTTCCAACTCGTAGAGCCAGGTAACCCGCCTGTTTCCAAGACCGAAATCTTGAAATTGGTGAAATATCTTAAACGCCTAAGATCAATTGTGCCGTTCAAGAATCCCAATGGTCAATTTATATCTCTGACATTTCATATTCTTAAAAGTCACGGGTCATATAAATGTATTCTTAATTCTGAAGTCACTTCAGTCTACATTATTATCTAAAGATGCATTCATGGCAACAATTCATCTTAAATAAGTATATCTTTGGTTACAGTTACAGTATATAAATACTCTAGAAAGTACTTAAGATTCCGTTTTAATAATAATTTGTATAAATTTACTTGCCTCCCATCCAGCTTGTGTATAGCTCCGTCTTACGTTGTAAGGGTTTAAAATTAATAAAGTATTTTGATCACGGCAGACGATCATAGCTTGTGCTTAATTTCAATAATAGACGTTATTATTTCTATCAGGTTTGTGATAAATTAGGATAAAAGTGTCTTACACCTAGTAAAACTTGGATATTTCTTGGACGTCTATTGAATTCACGACAGTGCAGCCTTGCCTTGGTGTGCGCAACTTAATTTGCAAAGCGTTTGCCAGACAGTCAGATAATGGTAATATATCATAATGGTTCAATGGTTATCCAATAACATGACGCGGAAATATAATAATATATAATAATTATATGTACAATTTATGGTTTTCCATTGGTAAAACCAATAACTAAGTTATTTCAGTGTTTCAGTTTATATATTTATAACAATTCTTACAACTTACATTTTTAAAGGGGTGCTAAATATAGCACGTTAAATTATTTTCGATCAGCTTGTTCAATTATATTACGTACAGAAACTTGTGTTAATGTTATTGTCAGAAGATTTTTATAAAATGTTTTGAGGACATGACTTAATTTACCTAAATATAAAAATTCATAGGATCTAAACTTAGTTTTATCCTACCTATCTAAGGAACACTAATGAATAATTTAAATATAAATATTAGGAGACTCTTAACTCTGTTCACGTTGGCTACTGGACAACATATTCAGACGTTAACACTAATCAAAATTAATAATGTATCATTCAATGAAAAAAGTGTTCGCATTGGTATATACTTACTATAGACGAACTTTAAAAACTTTAGCGTAATATGATGAATCCAAAATTGATAATTCCATGTTACCACGAATAACCAGTTTGCCCAGTGAAAGCTTAATTATTATTAATAAAAGACTTAAGTAATCGGGTTCAGATATGTTCATTTTAATTATTAATAATCTAGCAGTAAATCCCAGTATACAATCTTTAAGACGCTGGATTTAAACAAATCCTTAACCCTAGAGCGGTCGCGCATATAAATATATCCTAAGAGGTCGCGCGGATGACGTGTGTCATCCATTTGCCAATGATAATTTATAATAATAATACCAATATTTTGGGTGCATATTTTTATTGAAAGTAACTGACATAATATCACCTACATAACTAAACAAAAAATGAATAAAAAAGAAGGGTTTTAATTAAAATTAGGAACTTACGAACGAGTAACTATAATTTCTTTGCTTCTGAGATCAACTTTTGATATTAGCTATAATTATGAGAGACTAAAAATATTCTTAGGTATGATTTTCATAACAACTATTGCACATATAATTGCAATGGTCGGGACAAGTAAATTTCCCACATAATTGGCATGATATACGCGTGGTTTTATTACGTTTTCTTCCACACAAAAAGCAGCGACCACGCGCGCCTCCACGAGGAGAACTCGCCACTTTTTGTGGTTGTTCGTCTAATGGAATACCCAAAAAATCGCTTATTTTAAGCTTGAGGATCTTCGGTAAACAATCAGTACTCATTCTTCTACTAGCCAAAGGTTTCATCATACCCAACGCAATATCAGAAAGAAACTCTCGACGTAATACTTTTATTAGTCCATTGTTTGCTTTGTATATGCATAAAGCATTTATGGCACTTATATTCATCAAATTAAAAAAAACCGTCAGCGGCCATCGCCGTGAGTTTCTGGCCACATCATACAAGGAACACATTTTGTCCACTAGGTCTACCCCATTCTTTGTTCGATTATAATATGTAATAATATCTGGTTTACGTTTGTCACCAGAACTCTCGTCAATACAACCATCATTATGTACAGTTGACAAAAGTAATACAACCTTATTCTTTTTTGGCACATATGAAACTAAGGTAGTGTTTTCATGAAAACCAAACAAAGACGAAAATTCAGTTCTGTTTGTAGTTGTTCGGAATGCCTTCGGTACCTCTCTTTTATCCTTTCTAATTATACCAACGACAGTGGCTTTATTTTCAAAAAGCTTCTTAGCTGCTTCGAGAGAAGTAAACCAGTTGTCCATTGTTACGTTTCTATTTTCACCATGAATAGGTTCAGTGACTCTCAGAACTACGTCAAACCGATTATTGCTTATTTCGAAGGGACCGGGGTTACTGCCTCCATATATTTCCAAATTGTATGTGTATGGACGTTCACAATCGACCAGGGCAAATATTTTGATCCCATATTTCGCTGGCTTGTTGGGAATGTATTGCCGAAATCGGCACCTGCCTCTGTACGCTATCAATTGTTCGTCTAAAGTCAGTTCAGAACTTGGTGTATAATGTTTTTGAAAATTTTTGACAATTTTCTGAAATAAATCACGAATAGGTGCCAACTTGTCAACCATTATCCTTTGCGCTCTCGTTGTAGGATCATCAAAACGAAGGTTTCTCATCAAAAACTTGAACCTTTGTACATTCATTGTAAGATAAACAGCTTCCATCCCGGTCCCTTTCTTAGCGTCAAACAACTGCAAGATATTTTCCCTTCCAGATTTTACACTCCCACAGAGATATAAAATGCCCATTAGTCCTTTTATTTCTAACTCATCAGTTATTTTCGCATCTCTATCCCTTGAATATTTATTTTGCTCAATTAGTATACGTTTATTTGTGAAATCCGTTATCATAGCTACAATTTCATCATCAAGAAAGAGAGACAAACAATCTAGAGAAGTAGCCTTCGTTTTCGCTATTTCTCGAGGACCTGATTGTACACGTACGATGTTGTGTTGGCGCATCAAACGTCGAGCACGAACTTGTTCCTTCAGCCATCTAGTATTGTCAACACCTTGGTAAAATAAATTTGAAAGTGGTACCTCGTCCTCATCCGTGAAAACATGTGCGGGGCTTGCGGAACTAGCAAATGTTTGGTTCAACTCAAATTCACCTAAATCATGGTCACCATCTTCTTCTGAGTCCGTATTTTCGCCCTGGACTTCTAGGTGATCCGACTCTTCGTCATCAGAACATGGAGTACCCTCTAAAATGTCCTCATCTTCCTCCAATAACCATAACTCGATTTGCTGATCTCGGTTTGCCATTTTTAGTTCTAAAATAAAAATTAAAAACAATTTTTTTAGCAAAATAGCTATAAGAAATTACTAATTTTATTAAATAAATATTATTTACTATAAAAGGTGTTATAAATATATCATAACAATTACAAAATCGATAAAAAGGTTATAAAATGTTCGTCACAAAATACTTACGTAACCGGTCGCGCGGATGACATGTGTCCTCCACCTACTAATTTGCACTTATCCTGACTCAACCGAACCACGCAAGTGCACGGCAGTTACTGACGTCACGCAGCGTACTATGAGCAATACTAAACTGGGCGCCGGCGATGTGTTGCCATATAAAAATCAAGAATTCCCGGCCATTTAGTCAGCGTGGATGACTAATGTCATCCGCGCGACCACTCTAGGGTTAAAGGATAGCGTCATTGATATCAGCGCTTATCCGTCACGTTAAGAAGCACGCCGGTATCTTCCTCCAATGACATAAAGCATACCTGCAGCTGGCTAATCCAGCTGTTCTCTTTGTTCCACTAAGTTATGAAACTTGCCGTTAAAAAAAAACCCAACAAGATAGAGCTTTGGTAAATGCAAGATTAAGTAGAACTAAATGATTTAGTACTAAGTGTAATTGTTGGAATTAATATATTTAAAATGTTGGTTAGTTTTCCACAGCGATTGTAATTCTCGATGCATTGTTAAATTAACTATACTGGTTATCCTTTTCTATAGAGTTGTTCTTTTTATTTGATTACTCTGCAATGGGGCACTAAACATCTACATAGTTTATTAAATCTCATAGGATGCAGCAACGAAGTATAATTTATGGTTAATGGAACTTACCTTAAGTGAACTTCAACCAAAATTATACGAGTTGCTGCATCCGTAGAGATTTAGAACCCAACCCTCCCTAAATTAAAACCCCTACTTAATTGCAGAGTAAAAAAATTCGTCGCTACTCTAAAAAGAATGATCGAAACGCCCGGCCGGCACAGCAGGCTGACAGTGGCGTGCAAAAGTCAATAGACTATCTTTTTATTATTGAATTTTTTGTAAAAATAATATCTAAAATTTGTGTGATGATGCAGTACGACAGAAAGCGGACTACATAGTTTATTAAATCTCTACGGATGCAGCAACTCGTATAATTTTGGTTGAAGTTCACTTAAGGTAAGTTCCATTAACCATAAATTATGTTTCTTTAAATCGTAGAAAATTTTCGTGAACTTAGTGTCTGTACAAAAATATGTCTGATGACACAGATGCTGAGACTATGTTTTCTTAGATTTCTTATTCATTACTTACATTTAAAAAAAAAAACAGATGTTAACTAAATTGGCAATTATTAGCAATTAACTGTAAAATACTTTTAGTTTTATCACCAAAAACAAAAAGTATCTAAAGTCAGACTTTGTCTAAAATAACTATGGCCTAAATGATCTTCTTCAATCAACAAGTCAATCTTCCAATCATTCTGTATAATGCTTGTCCCGTGTGCGATTCGAAGCATCTATTATTAGATTAATGTAGGTAATTGTAACATGGTGAGAAGAACGTCACCATTATCATTCCAATTTAGTTTCTCTACCATTCTTTCCCTCCAAAAATGAATATGAGAGACATTATTAAAAGTAAAATACTTTATATCTAGCAACATTGTATAATTATGTAATTTTATAATTTATCTGTTTATCCCTGGTTGACTGATAGAGAATGCGTTTAAGGTGTCTTACAATAAAAAGTTTTACTTATAATAAATTAAATGTTCAATTCGTGTGTATTTCAGAACCATACATCATACCCACAAATCATTTTTCAAAACTGTCTGAGAGGAAGATTGAATCAAATTCTACTGATTGTAACATAAACGATATCCGTAAAGGAAACCTCGATTTAGAAAGCCCTACTATTAAATCAAAGCCTAAAGTCTAAAAAGATAATCAACCAATTAATAAAAAAGGAAAGCATCCTGCAAAGATTATGAAAAAGAAAATATTGAAACAAAAGAGTGTAAATATACTTACGAAAAACACGTCAGGGGCATCAACAAAATACATTTTTGAATGTTATAGTTGTAGCAAAAAATTTTCAACAAAAGACATTCTCGCCAAACACATTTCATACAGTCATAAGACGCAAAAGAACCAAAAGAACACCACTGCAGTTCGGACACAAGTTGAACAAACTCCAGTACCACAACTAACGGAAATATTTAATTGTGATATTTGCGAATTTAAAACAACTCAAAAACGTCGCATTTTGGCACATCTTAAAGCGCACGTCGCTGAACAAGTGTACTGTTGTAATAATTGTGATTATAAAAGTGTAAAAAAAAATGATTTGCAGAGACATATGAAAATACATACTGGAGAAAAACCTTTTTCGTGTCATATCTGTAAATATCAGTGTATTCAAAAAAATCATTTGCAGAGACATATGAAAATACATACTGGAGAAAAACCTTTTTCGTGTCATATCTGTAAATATCAGTGTATTCAAAAAAGTCATTTGCAATCACATATGAAAATACATACTGGAGAAAAACCTTTTTCGTGTCATATCTGTAAATATCAGTGTATTCAAAAAAGTCATTTGCAATCACATATGAAAATACATACTGGAGAAAAACCTTTTTCATGTAATATCTGTGAATATAAATGTATTAAAAAAGATGTGTTGCAAACACATATGAAAATACATACTGGAGAAAAACCTTTTTCATGTAATATCTGTGAATATAAATGTATAGAAAAAAGTAGTTTGCAAAGGCATATGAAAATACATACTGGAGAAAAACCTTTTTCATGTAATATCTGTGAATATAAATTTAAAGAAAAAAGTAATTTGCAAAAGCATATGAAAATACATACTGGAGAAAAGCCTTTTTCGTGTCATATCTGTAAATATAAGTGTATTACAAAAAGTGATTTGCAAAGGCATATGAAAATACATACTGGAGAAAAACCTTTTTCGTGTCATATCTGTAAATATAAGTGTATTACAAAAAGTGATTTACAAAGGCATATGAAAATACATACTGGAGAAAAACCTTTTTCGTGTCATATCTGTAAATATAAGTGTATTACAAAAAGTAATTTGCAAACACATATGAAAATACATACTGGAGAAAAACCTTTTTCATGTAATATCTGTGAATATAAATGTATAGAAAAAACTAATTTGCAAAGGCATATGAAAATACATACTGGAGAAAAACCTTTTTCGTGTCATATCTGTAAATATCAGTGTATTCAAAAAAGTCATTTGCAATCACATATGAAAATACATACTGGAGAAAAACCTTTTTAATGTAATATCTGTGAATATAAATGTGTGCCGGACGGGCGTAACTCTCCGGAGTAAATGTTGTCGGAGATACCCCGCGAGTCGCTCACGTCCTACACCTGTAGGTTCCAGACTCCTCCAACTGCCGTCTTTCACTGCCGTTTCTTTGGTTGCTGCGGATAAACTGTGGACTGAGGTTCAAAATTAAAATGCACGATTTGTAAATTAAAATAGCAAGGGAGTGGCCAGCGGATCGACTAATTAATTTGTCGCGAGATTTTACACTGTTATTTATTTATCACTATTTTTCAACTATGATTGTTCACTATATATTTTAAAACACAGATTTAATTAAACACACAGTAATATTAAAATTTCTATTGGTTTTCTAAAATTTCTATTCGTATTTTTAAAATATCTGTTGGTAATATCAAATTTCTATTGGCAGTAACAAGTTTCTATTGGTATTCTCTACAATTTCTATTGGTAATTTTAAATATCTATTGAAAGTAACAAATTTCTATTGGTAGTATCCAAAATTTCTATTGGTAGCAGCTGGTTTTCTAACACTACTGACTAGCAGCTATTAATCAACTAAAATTAGTTGAATTTAAACACTTTTGTAACTGCGAATATCAGTTACCACTTTTTCCGTCTAGCTAACACTTTTCACGAAATGTAACGGCGAAATTTCCGTTACCACTTATTTCAGCTAGCCAACACTTTTTCACTATATGTAACTGCGAATATCAGTTACCACTATTTTTGGCTAGCTGACACTATTTTTCTATGTGCAACTGAGAATTTTCAGTTGCCACTTTTTCCGACTATGTGTAACTGCGATTTTTCAGTTACGACCTTTTTCGGCTAGCTAAACTTTTCTATTTCACTTTAACTTTTCACTGTGTTCTGCTACTAGTCACTTCAGCTACTACCGGATACTGCTGCTTGTTACTGGTAGTTCTTCCTACTACAATGTTACTGTGATTTGCCCCCATAAGGTAGACTTCGGCTATACTCTATAGAGAGCCGCTTGCCAATTCCCATTTGCCTCTTTATTTTCAATCATTTTTCTTTATGCAAATGGCACAAATTGCAACTTTTCTATATAATACAAATCTTAACTCTAACATGCTATACATCATTAAATAGACATTTTTGTTCTACATTAGTATGCGATAAAGGATAATTAATATATTTACATTTAACAAAGTTATTCATTGAAATGTCCTAAACTTTTACACTAATTGGTCATATTAATTCTTTAATTATCCTATAACTTTTAAATCGTGCTTAATTATACAAAATATTTCTTTATTATAACGATCTATACATCATATGCTAACTAAATATCATATTTACAACTCTTTTCAGACATAAAATTATTCTCATTAATTTTTTGCTTAAAACTATTACGCAGTTAATTTAAATTTCCAGAAAGTTCTATAGCGCGGCGCGCTGTGATTGGTCGATATTTTCTTAAACAAAATAAAGTTGTTTATATTAACTATTGTCAAATCGACCTTCTATACAAACATATTGAGAGTTGTAAATACATGGTAAAACTATATTTAATACATTATTTAGTCAATTTTTCCGTATTTTCATTTTTTTAAACAAATAAATATTCCTTAATCACTTTCTCGTTTAAAGTCATTTTTGCCGTTGTGAACAGTCATTTTGGCCGTCTCGAACATTTCTCCCGCCGTGCAGCGTCGCGAAGACCCGTCGCAGCGGCGCTGCATAATTTCGGTGAGAGACGTTGCCTCTACTTCGGCAGCGGCACGAGTTTTCTGGTTGGCCTCTTGATTAGTCCATTCGCTGTGCGTACCTCCACAGTGCGGATCTGTCCGTCCGCCCCGGGGTATATGTTTTCAATCCTTCCTCGTGGCCAGGTGTTACGAGGTAACTGGCTGTCAGCTATGAGGACTGGATCGCCCACCTGGAGATCGGGGCCTTGACCGTGGGCCTCCCGCCGGTTTTGAAGTTCCGGCAGATATTCTTTGACCCAACGCTGCCAGAACATGTCAGCGAGTATCTGGGAGCGTCGCCAGTGTTTTTTGCTGTTCGCATCTTTTTCACTAAAAACTCCAGGTGTTGGCAGTCTCGCAGATCCTCCCAATAGGAAGTGATTTGGAGTGATGGACTCGTTGTCTTTGCTGTCTACTGAGATGTGAGTCAATGGTCTGCTGTTTACTGTATATTCCACCTCGCAGAGCAGCGTGGTCAAGACATCTTCGTGCGGATGTCTCTCATGAAGGACGGTGTATAGTGCCGTCTTCACGCATCGAACAAGCCGTTCCCACATCCCTCCCATGAAAGGCGCGGAGGGGGTTATAAATCGCCAGACTATGCCTCGTCGGCTGGCTTCTTCTCGGAAGGCCTCTCGAAGCTCCTTGTCGGCACCGTGCATATTGGTGCCGTTGTCCGAGTAAATCTCGGTGGGACATCCTCGGCGCGCTGCGAATCTTCTTAATGCCAGTATGGCAGAGTCTGCGCTGAGATCTTTCACAATTTCCAAATGTACAGCTCGTGATGTAAGGCAGGTGAAGAGCGCCACGTATCTCTTCTGATGCTGACGTCCCACTGTTACGGAGAGTGGCCCAAAATAATCCAGGCCGGTGAACGTGAACGGTCTCTGGTGATGTGCGAGACGCGTGCTGGGATGATCACCGGTGGCTGGCATGGATGGTTGTGCCTTTCTTATGCGGCACTGAACGCATTGGCTTACTATTCTTTTAGTAGTGGGTCTTAGTCTGATTACCCAGTAATGCTGTCGAACCTCGTTGATGGTTGGTTCGGTCCCGCAATGATGCAGGCTACGATGCGTCCAATCAATATACAATTGGGTGATGTGATGATCACCATCCAATATAGCTGGCCCTTTCATATCTTCAGAGACTCCTTTTACAGCGGCTATTCGACTTCGTAGCGCAATGATCCCGTCTTTCAATTGTATCTGTAGTGGTCGTAGGCGGCTATCATGGGCGACCCTCTTATCGTTACGGAGATCGGCTATCTCTTGTGTGAAGGAGTCTTCCTGGATGACATGTACCAGGAGCTTTTCGGCCTTTCTTATATATTCGGCCTCCAGTGTGATGTATTTGTTTACATCTTTGCTTTTCACCTGACTGGGAGGCTGCGCGAGACGTCGCGGATTGCACTTCGATCTCCTCCAGTCGGGGTCTTCCTCTCTATTTTTTTTTGTCCTTTTATAAAAGGTCCTGTCGGTTGTTTTGCGGCAGAGTGTTATGAATTGAAGCACTCTGGCCGTAGCTCGCACTAAGCGTTCCCATTTCGAAAATTTCGTCGGATCGGGAATGGCCTCTTTATATAGCGGAGCTCTATATCTTTTTGTGATGGTGAGAGATCTTTCTTCACCAGTAGGTTTGGATGACGTGGGTCGTTCTGTTGGCCATGCTGACGGTTCTTTGTATAGAAATGATGGGCCACTGTACCACTCGTGGTTAGAGTCGAAATTGGGTGGTACGTCCCTCGTAGCGGTGTCAGCTATATTCAATTTTGTGGGTACCCAGCGCCAGTCGTCCACTTTACTATTGTCCTCTATTGCTGCTATTAGTATTTCTTCGGCTTGCTTCTCTGGATCGGAATCTGGTTTTCTCGGATTTATCATTAAAGATTCCAGCGCGAAGTATTCGCGGAGTTGGTCATTTATATTCTCCTCGCTCGTGTACAACTCGTTGGCCGTGTGGACGCGCTGATGCGGGGCTTTAGTGTGCGCCCCGTGTAGCACCCATCCCAGTTCTGTGAGCGAGGCTATTGGCTGGTGCGGTGGACCTCTGCGTACTTGTGTGGCTATTAAGAGTCTCCAGTTGTCTTGTCCTATCAGGATCCTAGGGTTGCCTGAATCATATGTCAATTGATCCTTTAAGCCTTTCAAATGCTTACAATTTTCTATGTCTGTTGCACGCACAGTCTGCGGCCCCAAGTTTAGGCTGGCGACCGTGCGTGCTCTGAATGGCACCCTTTTTCTATGGAGACTCTTCAGTGACACTTTGACTCTTTGGGAGTCCGGCGAATCGAGGGTAGTGTTCCCGATAGCTGTGATCTTGAATGGGTCCAACCGCCCTTTAGCTCCAATTTGATCGGCAATCTCTTGATCCATTAACGAGACTGTCGACCCATCATCCAGCAGAGCGTGCGTGTTTATTGCTCCCGCCGGTCCAATTACTCGAACTGGAATTATCTTCAAGTAAGCTTGATGCTTTGATACAGCGAATGAGTTTGCCACTGTCTCTTGAGGTTCTTTTAGTGGGCCCTCTGTCTTTTCCTTTTTATTATTATGAAGGAGTCGATTGTGTGTCGCGTTGCATCCTTTTATTCCACACTTCGTGGTTTTGCATCTGTGTGTCTGACTTCTATAACGCAGACACCGGAAACATAAATTCCTTTGCTTGGCGAGTTGCCATCTTTTATCAATATCTGCCTCTTTAAACTTGTTGCAGTCGGATCCGTAATGACCCTCTTTTTCGCACACACTGCATTTCGGAGACGGCTTAGTGGTAGCCGTGTGCGTCCTATGCACTGGACGATTATTTTGCGCTCCGCTTATGATCTCAGGAGGCGCAAATGCACTACAGTAGCGAGTTTGTTCGGTGATAAATTCACTGAAGGAACCGAGGTCTGGTCTTGAGTCATACTTTTCTGTATAAATTCTATACCACTGCGCGCGTATAGAGTTTGGCAGTTTGTCTGTGAGGTGTCGTAGCAGCTCTGCGTTAACGAGGTAATGGTCTCGCTTGAGTGCTCGAAGTGTGACGACGCTTCCCCTCACTTTGCTCGCGAATGTACAAATATCTCTGGGTGCCTCTGTACAGCGTGGCAATCCCCGTAATTTATCGGTTTCTGCTTGCGCGATTGAATCTGGACGCCCAAATTGTAGCTCCAGTTCTCGCATAATCTCATCTGGTTTAGCATGCCCGATGAGTTCCGAACTAACTGTTTCCAAGGCTCTTCCTTGTAGACTTCTTCGTAGTCTAGCAGTATTTTCTATGTCATTGAAGTAGCCTCGGGTTGTTTCATAAATGGCACGGAACGAAAGCCATTCAGTATGTGCTCCGCTAAAGCTCGGCAGTGTCATTATCGCTTTTGATGCTGCGAAAGTATTTGACGATGCACTCTCTGGTTTTGGTTTATCAGCGAGTGCGGCTATAGCGGACGTGAGCTCCGATATGAATGGTCGGAGCACCCTGTCTTCATTGCTGACAGGTGCCTGGTTAGGTCTTTTTATTATGGGATTCTTGGTTGCTTCTTCCGGTTGGGGATCCTGGTAGGCGGGCTCTGATACAGCAGGTAGGAGCCCCCTGTCTTCATCAACCTTGGAGTCCTGGCAAGCCTTCTGAGGTACGGGACTCTTCGGTATATTTTCAGCATTGGGATCCTGGTAGGTGAGCTCTGATACAGCAGGTAGGAGCTCCCTTTCTTCATCAACCTTCGAATCCTTGTTTGTGAGCTTCATCGGTGGCTCACTGAGGTCGACAACCTCCGGGGGTGGCTTTGTGATGTTTTTATTAAGTGGGGCCTCCCCACCGGTGGTTGCGCCTTGCGTTGGCTTTTGTTTGGCTACAGAATTTTCGAGCCAAGATCGGACATACTCACTTTTGGAGTGACCATCCTCATCATAGTCGTCCGATTCATCATCTTCTTCAGCCATTTGTAATGAGATCTGTGCGAGTTCCAATTTTATTCTCAGCACTTCCTCTCGAGCCTTCAAAACCTTTTTATTGGGCCGAGTGGTCTTCTTTGACCTTGTACTTTTATCGGTGTGGCCCCTTGGTGGTTCTTCGGCGCGGGAATATACCCGGGCTGTTGGCGGTGATGCACAGCGAATGTCATCGTTGCCTTCTATTTGTTTCCTCTGCTTCGGTGTACCAGCTTTAACAACGGCTGGCACTGGCAGGTGTACCCCCCCATCGCAGGGGCAAGCTATCTGTTCTCTCTGCTTCGGTGTACCGGCTTTAACAACGGCTGGCACAGGCAGGAGTACCCCCCCATCGCGGGGGCAAGCTGGCGCCTCAGCGCCTTCTGTTGTGGATGGTGAGCGTGGTGGCATCTGGTGGCGGACGGTGTCGGTATTGTCCGACGGTCCATCATCCAGACCGACAGTCCACGCCATGGTTCCCCTTCCTTGCGAACGAGTGATCGGCATCTTGATTCTGAAATTTCAGCAACTTTAAAACGGTAGTGATTATTTACCCGGTTCCGAAATACTAACGGATTGACGAATCCCGTTCGAATGACCAGCGTATGTGGTCCGGTGTATACGGATGATTCGGCTCAAAAGGCCATAAAATGGTCCGGCTGGCAGTTCAATCGGAAGAATCCGGCTCGAAGGACCATAAAATGTGCCGGACGGGCGTAACTCTCCGGAGTAAATGTTGTCGGAGATACCCCGCGAGTCGCTCACGTCCTACACCTGTAGGTTCCAGACTCCTCCAACTGCCGTCTTTCACTGCCGTTTCTTTGGTTGCTGCGGATAAACTGTGGACTGAGGTTCAAAATTAAAATGCACGATTTGTAAATTAACATAGCAAGGGAGTGGCCAGCGGATCGACTAATTAATTTGTCGCGAGATTTTACACTGTTATTTATTTATCACTATTTTTCAACTATGATTGTTCACTATATATTTTAAAACACAGATTTAATTAAACACACAGTAATATTAAAATTTCTATTGGTTTTCTAAAATTTCTATTCGTATTTTTAAAATATCTGTTGGTAATATCAAATTTCTATTGGCAGTAACAAGTTTCTATTGGTATTCTCTACAATTTCTATTGGTAATTTTAAATATCTATTGAAAGTAACAAATTTCTATTGGTAGTATCCAAAATTTCTATTGGTAGCAGCTGGTTTTCTAACACTACTGACTAGCAGCTATTAATCAACTAAAATTAGTTGAATTTAAACACTTTTGTAACTGCGAATATCAGTTACCACTTTTTCCGTCTAGCTAACACTTTTCACGAAATGTAACGGCGAAATTTCCGTTACCACTTATTTCAGCTAGCCAACACTTTTTCACTATATGTAACTGCGAATATCAGTTACCACTATTTTTGGCTAGCTGACACTATTTTTCTATGTGCAACTGAGAATTTTCAGTTGCCACTTTTTCCGACTATGTGTAACTGCGATTTTTCAGTTACGACCTTTTTCGGCTAGCTAAACTTTTCTATTTCACTTTAACTTTTCACTGTGTTCTGCTACTAGTCACTTCAGCTACTACCGGATACTGCTGCTTGTTACTGGTAGTTCTTCCTACTACAATGTTACTGTGATTTGCCCCCATAAGGTAGACTTCGGCTATACTCTATAGAGAGCCGCTTGCCAATTCCCATTTGCCTCTTTATTTTCAATCATTTTTCTTTATGCAAATGGCACAAATTGCAACTTTTCTATATAATACAAATCTTAACTCTAACATGCTATACATCATTAAATAGACATTTTTGTTCTACATTAGTATGCGATAAAGGATAATTAATATATTTACATTTAACAAAGTTATTCATTGAAATGTCCTAAACTTTTACACAAATTGGTCATATTAATTCTTTAATTATCCTATAACTTTTAAATCGTGCTTAATTATACAAAATATTTCTTTATTATAACGATCTATACATCATATGCTAACTAAATATCATATTTACAACTCTTTTCAGACATAAAATTATTCTCATTAATTTTTTGCTTAAAACTATTACGCAGTTAATTTAAATTTCCAGAAAGTTCTATAGCGCGGCGCGCTGTGATTGGTCGATATTTTCTTAAACAAAATAAAGTTGTTTATATTAACTATTGTCAAATCGACCTTCTATACAAACATATTGAGAGTTGTAAATACATGGTAAAACTATATTTAATACATTATTTAGTCAATTTTTCCGTATTTTCATTTTTTTAAACAAATAAATATTCCTTAATCACTTTCTCGTTTAAAGTCATTTTTGCCGTTGTGAACAGTCATTTTGGCCGTCTCGAACAAAATGTATAGAAAAAAGTAGTTTGCAAAGGCATATGAAAATACATACTGGAGAAAAACCTTTTTCATGTAATATCTGTGAATATAAATTTAAAGAAAAAAGTAATTTGCAAAAGCATATGAAAATACATACTGGAGAAAAGCCTTTTTCGTGTCATATCTGTAAATATAAGTGTATTACAAAAAGTGATTTGCAAAGGCATATGAAAATACATACTGGAGAAAAACCTTTTTCGTGTCATATCTGTAAATATAAGTGTATTACAAAAAGTGATTTGCAAACACATATGAAAATACATACTGGAGAAAAACCTTTTTCATGTAATATCTGTGAATATAAATGTATAGAAAAAACTAATTTGCAAAGGCATATGAAAATACATACTGGAGAAAAACCTTTTTCGTGTCATATCTGTAAATATCAGTGTATTCAAAAAAGTCATTTGCAATCACATATGAAAATACATACTGGAGAAAAACCTTTTTAATGTAATATCTGTGAATATAAATGTATTAAAAAAGATGTGTTGCAAACACATATGAAAATACATACTGGAGAAAAACCTTTTTCATGTAATATCTGTGAATATAAATTTAAAGAAAAAAGTAATTTGCAAAAGCATATGAAAATACATACTGGAGAAAAGCCTTTTTCGTGTCATATCTGTAAATATAAGTGTATTACAAAAAGTCATTTGCAAAGGCATATGAAAATACATACTGGAGAAAAACCTTTTTCATGTAATATCTGTGAATATCAATTTAAAGAAAAAAGTAATTTGCAAAAGCATATGAAAATACATACTGGAGAAAAGCCTTTTTCGTGTCATATCTGTAAATATAAGTGTATTACAAAAAGTAATTTTCAAACACATATGAAAATACATACTGGAGAAAAACCTTTTTCATGTAATATCTGTGAATATAAATGTATAGAAAAAAGTAATTTGCAAAGGCATATGAAAATACATACTGGAGAAAAACCTTTTTCGTGTCATATCTGTGAATATCAATGTATTCATAAAAGTCATTTGCAAAGGCATATGAAAAAACACATTTGAGCAGAACCTTTTTTGTGAGAGATCTAGTAAAATATGTGCAATATTATGTAAAGGTGTTTTATATAAATATAAAAGTATACTAGATAAAAATCCATTTGTTATGAGTTCCTTATGTAACTGTAGAACGAGTAGAAAAACCTTTCCGTGTCATATGTGCTAATTGAAACTGCATTTATTCTGAAGAAGCTAATTCAAAAACCAAAGAAGCAACCAAGTGAAATCGAACCTTGAAATATGGGGGTATTCCCAGTAGTCTTACCAAGTAGTCTTACTAGTAAGACTACTGGGAATATTCTTCCCAGTTGTCTTACTGGTAAGACTACTGGGAATGTCCTAATGGAAACTGCCCAATAGTCTTACGAGTAAGTCTATTGGGAATCTTCGTGGCGTGTTGTATTCCCAGTAGTCTTACCAAATAACCTCTTAAGTAAAACTACTGGAAATATTTTTACCAAGTAGACTTACACCGCAAAAAAAATTCTCAGTAGTACTAATCTATAAAATACATGGAAATTGTTATCAGTACTTTAGTAGTATATTTTAGGAATAGTACTAGGCAAGCATAAAGTTGCAAGAGGAAGTAGGATAGTTCTTGTTTATATTCTTCTGCCGACTTCAAAAAGGAGGAGGTACTCAGTTAGACCATATAGATCTAATATTATTGGTTATATATACAGGGTGTTTTTGGAACGCTCCCGAAAACTAAGACAGGCGACAACACCAAGTATACCTTTGATCATGGGTCACAAATAAATTCGATCCTGATGAAAAAAAAATCATCTTTTTACAAGGTTTTATTAGCTTTATTCACGCGCCATCATGTTAGTACAGCTAAATGAAACGATAATTTCATAAAAAATATCATGAAAATACTGAAACATAAAACCAGCAGTGGAATGACTGAATTGATATCACCTGACCTGAGCTAGATAAAGGTCAATGTACGCGCGAACACAAATTCGCGCGGCCCGCAACTAGCGGGCCTTCCAACAATACCTAATAATTTACAACACGTGTCTAAATACCTAACTTATCTACTTAACCTACTATTTTGCCACTGTGCTTATCTCCACGTAGCCACTTTAATCCGAATTTACAGGTTAAATAACCCAAATAACTGGTTCGATTCCCCGCTAATGAAGAAATACTTAAATGAAATGTAACCAAGGTTGGAGTCATGCGTTTTTATTCATCGTGTAGGTATGTTTATTATTCTCGTGTATTCAGTTATGTACCTATTCAGATTAGTCTAGTACTAAGTTATTTAAAAAAAAATAGTTATGAAACAGCTTACTGCTCTAAATCCTCCGTGGTCTTATGAGATGCGGCTCAAATTGTGCTCCATTCATTTCAAGGCAGACTTGGGTGCAGGCGGGGCATCATCGTGTGGTCTTCGACACAGTCCGTACGTAGTTTCTCGAAAGCATCCACGATCCTTTGGCGCATTTCTTCAGCACTATCACATTCACGATTAAAAACCCTTTCTTTCACATACCCCACAAAAAGAAGTCTAACGGAGTCAGATCTGGTGAGCGAGGTGGGCAAGCGTGTGGTCCTAGTCTGCCGATCCAGCGATCATCAAATAGCTCATTGAGGCGCTCACGGACGAACCTCACGAAATGTGGAGGAGCACCATCATGTTGGAGCTATGTGCGGCGATATTCAGCCAACGATAGGTCGTTTAAAATGTCAACCAACTGTTCATTTATAAAGTTTAGGTATCGCTGTCCGTTCAGTCGCTCTGGCAGAAACACTGGTCCCAGTATGCGATCCTTAAATAAACCTGTCCATACGTTAACCGACCATCGGGTTTGGTGCCCGGTTTGCCGAACAGCGTGCGGGTTAACCTCTGAATACACGTGTGTATTTCTTCGGTTCCACAGGCCGTTTCTGGTAAATGTCGACTCATCCGTCCAGATAATGTGCTCAATGGAACCAGGCACACGTTGTTGCTGATATAATAACCAACGGCAGTATAATAACCACTATAAACGTACGCGTTAGGCATTATTAAAACAAAAAAGAATCCAAAAACGTAACAAAAACTTTAATATCAACACGTAATCACAAGTAAATTTATTAAACAAAACGATTGAACTGTCGCTCGCGCACGCGTGTACAAAATCAACACGAAAGCGAAACTGTCTCAAAAACTAAAACCAACGAACCCCGTCAAGGCTGAAAATTACTGCGTCACAAGCGTGAGGCGACAGGGTTAGGCATTCTGCCGTCATAATAAAAAAGGAAGTAACTAACAAAAACGTAAAATGGAAATAAAAAATAAATTGATGAATTTTTCTTTCAGACCCCGTGTCTAAAGTATATTAAAAGGTATCTATATTGAAATATATACGTAGAGACATGAAGATTTTAAGGACGAACTTATTTTTTTTTTAATTTGTTTATTTATTTAAATAAAACGAATTTTCCTTTTCATCTTAGCTTAAAAAATACACCTGGCAACACAAAAACATCGAAGGAAAGACGCATATAACTATTTGCGTCTTTCCAACCTAATAAATTAAAAAAAAACTGCCATTCATTTAACAATTTTACATATTTTGGAAAGGTCATTTGAAGTTGAAAGGACGCTAATAGTAATTTACTACTTTTTTTTTTAATAAATATTAGAAAAGCATTGGTAGTGAGACACAAAAAATAATAATTTTAAAAAGTAATGATTTTAAAGGGGATATCATACAAGACTTACTACGATAATAATTAAAATTTAAAAATTTTGTACAACCGACTTTAATATAAATAATTAAGGATAACTCAAAAACTATTGGTCTGACCTCGATCAAATTTATATGGGACCACATGTGAAACACCAGCTCTTAACAATAAGATATAAGCTCTTAATAATAAGATATAGAATAATAAGACAAGACCAAGAATAATTGAAATTTAAGTAATCGATGCAAATATTGTTAAAGATGACGTAGCAACTGGTTAAATAAGTCTTTTCTTTTATGTTGAACTAGCTGTTCCCCGCGACTTCGTTCGCGTGTTAGGGTTTTTATGTTTCTGCGCGGAACCCTGATTCTTTTTCTAAAATAAAAGTAGCCTAAGTTACTCCTTATGAAATCAGCTATCTGCCAGTGAAAGTCCCGTCAAAATCGGTCCAGCCGTTTCGGAGATTACACGGAACAAACAGACAGACAGACAGACAGACAAAAATTTTAAAAATTGTATTTTAGTTATAGGTATCGTATTTACTTTCATATGCATTTGGTAAAAAACTGTAATTTTGACATTACAAACAGACACTTCAATTTTATTTATTTGTATAGATTTGTATAAGTCTTTTCTACTAAAAAAAGTCATCTGTGATCAACAGTTACGTCTAAAATTCTTACGATAATTTCTAAAATATTGATATTTGTGAATATTAAAAAAATTTAGTAGATGCGCCTTCTTATCATGAATCGAATGGTATATTTAACTCATTTATTCATAAATTGTTAGATGCGCCCTTTTTTCTTACGACCGCGTGTTTCGTACCGAGCTAGATACAGGTCGATAGCGGAGGGGGTGTGGGTACAATCGCGTTCTAAAGTACTACATGGTATTGGGCTATTGTTTTATAATTAATTGTTTTAATGTAGAATCATAATAGGTGTTTTACTAGCTACTTAGAACTTTGGAAGAGGTGGGAATTAAAAATGGATAATGTTTACATGAGCATTATTTGTTATTTCTATCGTAAAATATAAAGTAGTTTGTAACAAGAAAACTTTAGCTAAGGGTAACACGCCGTCCATTATGACGTCTTGGGTCACATGGAAGCCAGATGTTAATGGTGTGTTGGTGTTACTGGATGCTACTTGATTATCACTTTCATCTTCGCTTGAGCTTCCGTCATCAGGTCGATCACATGGTAATTTTTTCGGTATTCTTCCTCCACACTTTTAACTTTACTGCACAATTTTCCCCATTCACCTTCTCCTATCATATTTACCTTTTCGATCACTAGTTTAGTCATAAAACAATAGATATAAATAATTTTTTTTTCCTTCCTTTTTAAAACATCGTCGCGAGTCGCAAAGTAAGCTGTGTATGCGACTGTATTTTTGGAGCGAACAAAGCGCGGGAACCAATAGCATGCAGGCACACTAATACTGGCGGATTGTTCCCCCGTCGCGCGGTACCAATATGTGATAAATCGCTCAGTGCCCAAGTTCAAGGCCAGCGTTTGTTTTTCACCGTTCGTGCGTACATTAACCTCCATTAGTCAGGTGATATCAATTCAGTTTCCACTGCTGGTTTTATGTTTCAGTATTTTCATGATATTTTTTATGAAATTATCGTTTCATTTAGCTGTACTAACATGATGGCGCGTGAGTAAAGCTAATAAAACGTTGTTAAAAGATGATTTTTTTTTCATCAGGATCGACTTTATTTGTAACCCATGATCAAAGGTATACTTGGTGCTGTCGCCTGTCTTAGTTTTCGGGAGCGTTCCAAAAATACCCTGTATATATATAGTTCAGGGCAAGAAGAATTTTAAAATGGACTGGAAGGAAGTAGCCGACATGCTCAACCAGCTCCCCCAGGTAATACGCCAGAGCAATGAATAACAGTTAAGTTTCTATCAAAAAATTTTCCAGATTTACTACTAATTGCTTAAATTAAAATGCATAAATAAATTAGGCAGCACATCGTGCAGCACTAGTGTTACTAATATTTACTTGAATACATAAGCTTGACCTGGTGAAAAATCTGTCTTCAGAAATCCTAGAACGGGATATATTCTCCAAATTTTTTCTGCAGATTTTATACTCTTATTACATTTAAAATCTGCAATGTTACACTTTATATCTATGGACATAATATAAAAAAATCCACAAAACATAACAATAATCATCACATTTATTAACTAAAGAAATGACAAAACATGCCTTTTAATAATAAAAATAAAGTTACTTCGCCTAATATAGAAGTAAAGCATTCCGTCAGGAGAGCCTACGAACATGTCTTCATCTACGTAACTTTTCTAAGAAATGTCTAACGCTTATCTCATCATTAAGTTGCAGTTGAGTGTTATGGATAAACTGGTCACGTTGAATATGTATTTTGTGTCGTTTATTTAAACTTGAATTGTTTTTTATTTGGATGCTGTGCACTTTATGATATGATGCGTCTGAGTTTAAAATGTTAAGTAATTGGTGTAAGTTGCTTTTTTCTTGCCAACTTCATCATTGATCGTAAAATGCCACGATTCTAAATAATTTGTCGTGCGATGTCGTTGGCTAAATACGCAGATTTTATTAACATTGTTGTTAAGCCAGTTTTTTGACATATATTTCTTAAATTTACGCATCGCTTGCATATCATTGTGTTCCTCCATTTCATTCAATATATAACTCCAACCATCTAAAATCCGTTCTTCGGGTAGAAGTGGCAGCATTTTGCAAAGCGATAATATTCTGTATGTCTTTAATTTGAGAGATTTTGCTTTTCTTTTTAGAGTCTCACAATAGTGAAAGTAGCCTCCGCTTATTAATATTTTAGGAAAAACGGCTCGTAAAGCTTTCATCATAGCGTCCTCATAATCCTGGCCCGCCGGTTCTCACGTTGTACAGTCGAGGTAAAACTTATTTTATTTAAGGCCTATTGCCAATCCCTCTATACGTGCGCCTTATGGGTCAGATTTACGCAGCGGGCATACAACACCCTACGTATACATTATAATAACGCTTTTAGATTGTTGCTGGGGCTCCCACGTCACTGTAGTGCATCAGGTATGTTTGTGGACGCCCACATAGACAATTTTTCAACACTGATTCGCAAAAAAACTGCGTCACTGATGCACAGGGTTCGTGGGAGCGCCAACAGCATTCTTAACGTAATTAGCGAGAAACCCGATTGTACTTTTTTGAGGCACTGGATGCATGTTCATGTCCATGTATCCGTTGCCTCGGACAGGCAACCCAGATATATGAAGTAATTTTTATTTAATTTTACTATCTACTTTTAACAAATTATCGTCTGCAATAAATTATTAATTATTATTATTATATCATTAATATAAGTTATGTTTATGATTTTGTTAATATATTATTAAGTCGGGTCTGTTGTGAGTTACGTTTACATTGATTTACATTATTTTGTTAATATTAAATAATTATTATATTTTCAATATTATTATGAATACTTATGCATTTGATGTATTAATTTTAGTAATGAGTAATAATTTTAGTATTAGAATTAACTTGAATGAATGTAATATTACCCTATGATCCTTGCTGGTCGAAATAAATAAATAAATAAATAATCAGTTTTAAATTACGTAGGTTCCCAGTTAGTTATCTGACTTTTTATTAATTGTAATAATGTTACGTAAGTTTCAGTTCTTTTGTCTGGGAGGAAGGCATAAATAACGGGTATTATGTTTGTAGTTTGCTGAGAACTGTCTAGATCGCAATGAATGGTATACAACTGAAGAAAGGGTAACGGGGTTATTTCAAATGTGCCATCACTGAGATATTGCTGTTTTTCAGCCATAGTTTTTCTTGCATGCCTAGATTTAAATACTAAAATTCTTGCACCGTCATCGCGAAAGTAATCAGCCAGTAGAAATGAATCAAATTTGAACGGCACCTCAACGTCAGCATACGTTTTGTGGTATAGTTTTTCAACGCCTAACTCATTGCGATATCGGTATAACGTTGACTTTACATCTCCGAATTTCGGTAATTTATTAATGAAGTTATTACCTGCATTTTCCAATGAACTTACTGCATTTTTGTAGACTCTAGTCACTGATATCGAGTCTTCACTAATTTTTTTCTTACATTCGTAAAACTTTAGGTCTATCTCATTTTTAGCAAAGTCTTGAGCACATGTTATTATGTTTGGTGTTGCTTTCACTTCTTTCTTGTCCCTGATGGTTACCGATCCAGTGCATTTGTTTTTCTTATATTGAGCACATCGCCATATTACACTTGCATCTTTATAAACCTTTAATTTATAATACTGGTAACCATTTAACATTAGTACTCTTCCTCTTCGTCTTTTCATCACGTTAATTTCAGACATAACACTATATTATGTGATATTGCCAAATATTTATTATATTTAATTTTAATTTTATTCAGTGACAAGGCGTCATTCATACAAATGTTTAAACAAAATGTTTTTTATGTTTGGCCATAGACTAACCAATAATATTAGATCTACATGGTCTAACTGAGTACCTCCTCCTTTTTGAAGTCGGTAGAAGAATATAAACAAGAACTATACTACTTCCTCTTGCAAGTTTATGCTTGCCTAGTACTATTCTTAAAATATACTACTAAAGTACTGATAAAAATTTCCATGTATTTTATAGATTAGTACTACTGAGAATTTTTTTGCGGTGTAAGTCTACTTGGTAAAAATATTTCCAGTAGTTTTACTTAAGAGATTATTTGGTAAGACTACTGGGAATACAACACGCCACAAAGATTCCCAATAGACTTACTCGTAAGACTATTGGGCAGTTTCCATTAGGACATTCCCAGTAGTCTTACCAGTAAGACTACTGGGAAGAATATTCCCAGTAGTCTTACTAGTAAGACTACTTGGTAAGACTACTGGGAATACCCCATTTGTATATATTTTATTAATTAAGATTGCTTTTAATTTTGCTATAGGAACCGTTGTTCATTTACAGAATTGTTAAGAAATTAAATATGCATTATAAAACTTTCCAATTAAATGGTGCAAGAAGCGGAAAAAATGATAACAAGAAAAGGCTATTCGTAACAATATTTCCCTTAGATGATGAAAGGTATGTGGTGATTTCAACTTTAATAGTAATATGATATTTAACGCGAGTATATTTTTGGACTAGCCATCTATGTAGGACATGTTTTTATAGTGTACGATTGTGTGCACAAATACAAACACACTATTACCTAAATCTGATAGTTCGATGGTTTGGCAATCCGAAACGAACTATACTTAGAAACTACAAGTCAATTCTGATTTTATTTATATTATTTTTTCAGATGCAAGCAATGGGTGAAATAGCTGGCACATGCACCAATTGAAAAGATTCACGTGTTAAGACATGTTTGTGACAAACATTGCATATGAACCCAACTAAAACGAACTGTTATTTCTTTAGTGGACTTACTTTAAACTTGTACAATTTATGTGTATGTTAATTATGTTTCATTTACATGTAGCAAAAGATAATATCCCTCTAAAGTCACATTTTGGCAAGAATTAGATTATGTAACTAAATCATTATTTTATTCATCAATAAACATTTAGCTTTAATGAGCACTTATAGCGAATGGTATGTACATAGGTGCCTCTGTGAAGAAGCCTAGCGATTTGTACGTAGTATTTGTTACACATAAAAGCAATTTAATCCAATCAGTATTAAAAACCCAATATTTTTACCTTTAAAAAAAACTAACGTTGAAAACATGCATCCAGACGCAGACTATTTATTTTACAGCATAGCAACAATTGTTCAGTGCGGGAAGGAAGCCTCGGTCCTGCAATGCCGCAGCCAAACGCCTTAGCCACTGCGCTACGGAGTTGTCATTTATTTTTTACTTAATTAATTACTAGTATAAAAGTGCGTTTTTTATTTTATATTTTCTTTATACATGCTTTTGTACCTAATTGTAGAGATATAAATACAAATTGCTGTGTGTAAAATACATTGATTTCTTATCCTCATCGGCATTTTTACTCAATCCACACGTTAAAAATTTTATTTCTCATAAATAATTCAGTATACAGATCTAACTTTTCTTATGTAAAAATATCGATAAACAAATATATCGATAAAATTATTCGAGAATAGACATTTACAGCACTATTGTAATTCGTCAATGTTGTCAGCACTGTTTCTCAAAACTAAATGTCATATCTTGATGTTGGTAGAGTAACTTGGCGTAATTTCACGCAATTATTTTTACTATGGAAGTCCCGCCTCTTAAACGTAGTGATTATATTCTCTTTGACATATATATTTATCTATGAGTCCGGTTTGTTGATGAAAAAGAATTCAATAATCAATTTTAATCATAGATAAATATATATGTAGCAAGCTAATTAATAAAGCTATAGAAAACAGCAATGGCCTTTAGTGAAGGTGAAGTTTGTAGAATTTGTTTAAGCGTTAATATACGCATGTTTGCACTAAAGGAGACTGGCCTCCAAAATTTGTATAAGACATTGACGAACAGTTTTGTAAGTTTTTTAATATTTATTTATTGCTAAATGAAGTTGCGGTAATTTGTTGTTATCACTGGAGAAATACATTATAATGCCCGATATATGTTCTAAGATGTAGCGTTAGATATAGTGACAAATACAACCAGAACCTGAAAAATAACAATTAGCCTGGTATCCTGTTCATATCATCTTGCGGGACAAAATGGCCCCTAGTGTATCTGGGTCTCTAGTTTAGTATAGTTTACGACGGGCTGATTTCCGCAACTCCACGTCTATGTTCGTATTTTGCATGTGGGCAGGAATAATATGCTTATTCGAGCCATGAGATCTCCCCGAAGAAGCTCAACAGTCCTTTGATGTTGCATGCAACTTCGGGGAGTGATCTCGGCTCGAGATGTTTAGCCCTGTACATAGCGACCTCCGGACATTTCAATATCACATGGGCCGCCGTTTCTTCTTTCCCCAGACATGCCCTGCACAGGGGACTATCTGTAACACCTATAGTAAATAAATGCTTGTTAAAGTTGCCATGTCCTGTGATAGCACTTGTTACTATCTTGATCTGTGGCTTGTTCAGTCTCATTAGAACTTTGGTCAAACGACTGTTTATTTCAGGTAGGGCCTCCCTAGCTTGTCTACAGTCTACTAAATTTTTCCAAAGCTGAGCGTGTAGATTAGTGAAGTGTCAAATATCTGGGTCTTAATTGTACTACATTCTCCTTTCATTCCTTCCAAGCAACCCGTACTGCTGCATAGATTTTGTTCTTGGTGTCTGTTCTAGTACATATTACTTGAATGACTATTATTGTGATTTTCTATCAAGAAATTAACATTTACCCTGGTTTGGTTGTTCAACAAATTAAAACAGTTCTATCGGACTATTAAAATGAGAGAATAGAGTAGAAAGAATTATTATCATTATTTTATATGTGGTAGAGCCAGGCTGCAGCTATATTATGGTTGTATCATGGATTGGCCAGCTTGACCGGGGTGGTACTACACTTTCACAGAATGTGTAGTACTACCCACCACCCTGTGTTTTGTTTCAATATCCTCCTACCACAAGCATTATCAGTTTACTGAGAGTGATAAGAGAAGTTTTTGTAATGTTCTTAGTGATGATAGCAGTTTGAAGTTAATGTAGGTAATGTAGTTGATGGATGTAGGTGGCTTGGAACTGTAGGAGTTTCTTTCTGCCTAGATATCATCCTCTTACCATTTTCTGGCACCAAGCAGCAGTATGTGTCCCAGTCTGAAGGACATCGAGAGCCAGGCTGTGATGCATTACATCTTATTCCTCAGAGGTAACATTGCATCTGTAGCCATTGCTTGAAGTTTGTTGCAGGTGCCCATGATGCCCATTAGTCACTTACTAGATGGTAAGTTTATTTGTCACTTCAATATTATAAAACATGATGTTGACAAATTAAAATGTGGTAGCCAATAATCTTTATTATAAACTTATAAAACAGTAGAACGCCGATTATCCGAATTAATTGGGACTGGGGTCGATTCGGATAATCGGACATAGACTGGTATGTAATATAGAAAAACGAACTGTCACACATAGAATAAACTTTATTAAGTTTATAAATGGTTTTACACTTTATAAAGTTTTATAAAGAGTAAAACCAGCTACATCCATTTTTTCACTGAACATTCGTGACTTTTCACATAAAATCGATCCTGAAATCTGTTGTCCAATAGATCGTTGCTGCAGAAACCACGTAAAAACAGCATTCTCAAGCTGTTCATCTTTTGCCTTTTTCATTACTTTTCGCGACGAACATCCATCACCACTTTCCAATGCGGTCACAAAACTTAAAATTTTTTCACTGTTATTTTTAATATCAGTTAACCAAGTATTGTATAAGTAATCTTAGTAATGTTACTTACTGTACTTGGTTATCATTTTTTATATTAAGCTTAGGACCCATTCGGATAATTGGCGATTCGGTTAATCGGCGTTCGGATAATCGGCGTTCTACTGTATTTGAATACTATTTCATATTTATGAAGATTTTCATATTTTCAGTTGGATGAGATTGAGGGGCCAATAATTGTCTGTTTCACCTGTCATGCAAGACTCATTCGTTGCAGAAGATTACAACAACAGGCTATTGAGTCAAATGTGGTTCTGGAGCAGTTGCTTTCAGGAGGATCCATGGTATTATCCATTCCATCCATTAAAACCTATAAAAGCCCACTGCTGAACATAGGTCTCACTCATAGATTGCTTCATAGGAGGGATTTTGCCAAATTTGCCACACTTGGCAAGGTGGCAACTGTAGTTTATATTAGTCTAAGTTGTCATCAGGAAGATGCGGCCGCCCTACCTCTGTTTCTGTTTCCTTCTGTTGCCTCTTACGACACCCATCCCATGGATAGGTATATAGGATAGTGCAGGGGTCGGCAACCTGCGGCTCGCGAGTCACATGCGGTTCTTTGGATGTGGAGCTGCGGTTCTTTAGTTTCATACGCAAATATTATTTATTTTATAAAAAAAAATTATAAATCGATCCATACTGAGCCATTTGGGGTTGATACTGGATCTCTAGAAATGCAATTGATCAATTTAAAAAGTAAAGCTTTGTGTAGTTGAAAATTTACAGAGTTGATAAGGAAGTTGAAACAGTTGGAGGTCCAGAGATGTATGTACGTAATGCAATAAAAATGAACAGCTTTAAAAGAAATGCTGCGAGTTGAGTTATATTCGACGCATGGAATAGTCTTCCAGATTGCTATAGTGAGGTGAAGAAGTTGGCATTTGGAGTGCTGACTATCTTCGGATCGACATATTCGTGCGAGCAAGAGTTCTCTTGCATGAATATAATTAAAAGTAAAGTAAGAAGCCAACTACCAAATGAAAATTCAGATTCGTGTTTGAAACTTAAAACAACAAGCTATGAGCCAAATTTATCCAAACTTTCTAAAACCATGCAAAGCCAAAACTCCCATTGAATTTGTTTGCTTAATTGTTTGTACTTGAAGTATAAGTTAGTGTTGTAAGACTTACAATGTAAATAAATGTTTGTTTTAATTTTTTACTTAAATAATAAGTGATTATCTAATAATACCATATATATATATATATATATATATATATATATATATATATATATATAAAAGGTTGCCGACCCTGTGATAGTGGATATTCTTACACCGTCACTGCACAATCCACTTTTCTATGCTGCTTCCCATTGCTATATGGGAGAATGTTTCTAGTGCAAAGTTAAGTTTGTCCTTCAATCCAACTTACTTTTGTTAGAGCAATAGTACTTATTTTTACAAAAACATTTATCAAACTGTTTATACTGTTATATATTACCCTATTGTATATAAACAAATCTCAATAAACAAAGTTAAATCTTTATAAATTTACAGCTTTCGTGAATCTGAATCCAAAAGTTGTTGAGACTCAATTCTCAGGATAGATGAACTATGTACATTCTTATTTAAGTTTACGCTGAACCCTCACTTATGTCCGGTGTTTATTATTAATTGAAGTTGTTGTCAGGAAGATGCTGCCCCCCGATCTCCTGTTTCAGTTTCCCTCTGCCCCTTTTTACGACATCTGCGGGATGGCAGGGGGTAGTATGGGTTCTCCTACTCCACCACTATATTGTCTTTTTCTCTTATTTGAAAAAATTATTTCCTTTCAGTCAATACCAAAACCGCATAAGGTTAGAGGTGAGATTAAATTCACACCAATTTATCATATAGATATCTGGCCTGTAGCTAGTGATATAGACAATGATTGCAAGGACGAATTTTTTTGCTTTGATGCCGTTAAAGTTGAGGAAGAGATTTTCGAATATGAGAATTCCAAATTGGAAGAAAATGAGAATCATGAAACAGGTTAGATATACCCCTTTTTTATATTATTAAAATAAGGTACAATTTACCTTATGGCAAGTGGTTACTGTAGCCCGTAGACACATAATAAAGAGGGCTTCATGTGTAATGTATTGATATACTGATTTGCCTTTGTCTAGATTCTAAGTGCATGTCAAAAGCGCTCTTATTAATACATTAAAAAAATATTTTTACCCTGTCAGCTAGTATGTATGTCACTAAGATACATACTGGTAAGCAACCAATTATCTTTGCCATCTTCTTAGTGTCAGTACTAGGTGGTGTGACTCCATATTTGCCTAGGAGTTGATCTATTTGTGCCTGCCTAGATGGACTCCTCCCTCCTCCTCTTACCTATTTCTGCCGTCAAATAGTGTTCCATTCTGATGGGTATAGAGTCAGAATAATCACAGGCTGTGGGTCATTCCATTTTAGTTGTGGTAGTACCATGCTGCAGCTACATTAGTAGTATAGTTATAGCACGAATGGGTCGGCTCGACCGGGGAAGGACCACGCTCTCACAGAATACCAGCGTGAAATAACAGCTTAACACTGCTGTGTTTTGTATGGTGATTGTAGGGAACGGGATACCCTTTTTACTGGAAAAGAGGCATTCCATCGTAGTCCTCATGGGTGACAATGCATCTGCATTTTGATTCTTTATTGAGGACAGATGTAGATGTCTATGGGTCACAGCGACCATTTACCATTGTGTGGACTGCGTGCTCGTTTGTCACCCTATCCTATAAAAATTAAAATGAAAAGATGAGCGCATTGCATCATTAAATCTTCATCATTACAGCCTTCACAAGTCCACTGCTGAACATAGGTCGCAGCCACGGAATTTTCTGCCATTGCCTTCCTGCATTTCTTACCAGTTCATCATTCCATCTAATGGAGGGCCGCCCTACACTTTGTCTACTGGTACGAGGCTGCCACTCGTAAAACTTCCTCATTCATTGTCATTTCTTCGAGTTATATGGCCGGAATTTCAAATTCCAAAGAATTAATTCAGCATTTGAAACCATGATGTTGAAAGTAACTACAACAGAAGTGAGACGACGGGCCCGTGCTTGTGTTAGTAATCGCATCAATTATTTTGAGCATCAACAAATAAATAATTAGAATTTTTATTAGTCTGCCTAAAAATTTAAATTTTCTACCTCAATCTGGTTTTAGGGGACAATTGAAAAATTTGTAACAAATGCGTGTAAGTTATACCTCAAATGAGTTATAACCAAGCATGTTTTCAAAAAGATTCTAACAATAAATTAAAGTACCATCAGTTTTTTTTAACGTAGTGTCAAAAATGTTTATTATTTAAAATGTTAATTATGTTTCTTTAAATCCTAGAAAATTTTCGTGAACTTAGTGTCTGTACAAAAATATGTCTGATGACACAGATGCTGAGACTATGTTTTCTTAGATTTCTTATTCATTACTTAAATTAAAAAAAACAGATGTTAATTAAATTGGCAATTATTAGCAATTAACTGTAAAAATTTTAGTTTTATCACCAACAACAATAAGTATAGTCAGACTTTGTCTAAAATAAGTAAGGCCTAAATGATCTTCTTCAAGCAACAAGTCAATCTTCCAATCATTCTGTATAATGCTTGTCCCGTGTGCGATTCGAAGCATCTATTATTAGATTAATGTAGGTAATTGTAACATGGTGAGAAGAACGTCATCATTATCATTCCAATTTAGTTTCTCTACCATTCTTTCCCTCCAAAAATAATTATGAGAGACATTATTAAAAGTAAAATACTTTATATCTAGCAACATTGTATAATTATGTAATTTTATAATTTATCTATTTCTCCCTGGTTGACTGATAGAGAATGCGTTTAAGGTGTCTTACAATAAAAAGTTTTACTTATAATAAATTAAATGTTCAATTCGCGTGTATTTCAGAACCATACATCATACCGACAAATCATTTTTCAAAAGCGTCTGAGAGCAAGATTAAATCAAATTCTACTGATTGTAATTGTAACATAAACGATGTTCGTAAAGGAAACCTCGATTTAGAAAGCCCTACTATTAAATCAAAACCTAAAGTCAAAAAAGATAATCAACCAATTAATAAAAAAGGAAAGCATCCTGCAAATATTATGAGAAAGAAAATATTGAAACAAAAGAGTGTAAATATACTTACGAAAAAACCGTCAGGGGCATCAACAAAATACATTTTTGAATGTTATGGTTGTAGCAAAAAATTTTCAACAAAAGACATTCTCGCCAAACACATTTCATACAGTCATAAGACGCAAAAGAACCAAAAGAACACCACTGCAGTTCGGACACAAGTTGAACAAACTCCAGTACCACAACCACAAGTAACGGAAATATTTAATTGTGATATTTGCGAATTTAAAACATCTCAAAAACGTTGCATTTTGGCACATCTTAAAGCGCACGTCGCTGAACAAGTGTACTGTTATAATGATTGTGATTATAAAAGTATTAAAAAAGATCGTTTGCAGAGACATATGAAAATACATACTGGAGAAAAACTTTTTTCATGTAATATCTGTGGATATAAATGTATTGATAAAAGTAATTTGCGGTATCATATGAAAATTCATACTGGAGAAAAACCTTTTTCGTGTCATATCTGTAAATATAAATGTATTCAAAAAAGTAGTTTACAAACACATATGAAAATACATACTGGAGACAAACCTTTTTCGTGTCATATCTGTAAATATAAATATATTCAAAAAAGTAGTTTGCAAACACATATGAAAATACATACTGGAGAAAAACCTTTTTCATGTAATATCTGTGAATATAAATGTATTAGAAAAGATGTGTTGCAAACACATATGAAAATACATACTGGAGAAAAACCTTTTTCGTGTCATATCTGTAAATATCAATGTATTCACAAAAGTAGTTTGCAAAGGCATATGAAAATACATACTGGAGAAAAACCTTTTTCATGTAATATGTGTGAATATAAATGTATAGAAAAAAGTAATTTGCAAAGGCATATGAAAATACATACTGGAGAAAAACCTTTTTCATGTAATATCTGTGAATATAAATGTATAGAAAAATGTGATTTGCAAAGGCATTTGAAAATACATACTGGAGAAAAACCTTTCTCATGTAATATCTGTGAATATAAATGTATAGAAAAAAGTAGTTTGCAAACACATATGAAAATACATACTGGAGAAAAACCTTTTTCATGTAATATCTGTGAATATAAATGTATAGAAAAAAGTAGTTTGCAAACACATATGAAAATACATACTGGAGAAAAACCTTTTTCGTGTCATATCTGTAAATATAAGTGTATTACAAAAAGTAATTTGCAAAGGCATATGAAAATACATACTGGAGAAAAACCTTTTTCGTGTCATATCTGTAAATATAAATGTATTAGAAAAGATATGTTGCAAACACATATGAACATACACTCTTGAGCAGAACCTTTTTTGTGAGAGATCTGGTAAAATATGTGCAATATTATGTAAACGTGTTTTATATAAATATAAAAGTATACTAGATAAAAATTCATTTGTCATGAGTTCCTTATGTAACTGTAGAACGAGTAGAAAAACCTTTCCGTGTCATATGTGCTAATTGAAACTGCATTTATTCTGAAGAAGCTAATTCAAAAACCAAAGAAGCAACCAAGTGAAATCGAACCTTGAAATATGGGGGTATTCCCAGTAGTCTTACCAAGTAGTCTTACTAGTAAGACTACTGAGAATATTCTTCCCAGTAGTCTTACTGGTAAGACTACTGGGAATGTCCTAATGGAAACTGCCCAATAGTCTTACGAGTAAGTCTATTGGGAATCTTTGTGGCGTGTTGTATTCCCAGTAGTCTTACCAAATAATCTCTTAAGTAAAACTACTGGAAATATTTTTACCAAGTAGACTTACACCGCAAAAAAATTGTCAGTAGTACTAATCTATAAAATACATGGAAATTTTTATCAGTACTTTAGTAGTATATTTTAGGAATAGTACTAGGCAAGCATAAACTTGCAAGAGGAAGTAGGATAGTTCTTGTTTATATTCTTCTACCGACTTCAAAAAGGAGGAGGTACTCAGTTAGACCATATAGATCTAATATTATTGGTTATATATATATATATATATATATATATATATATATATATATATAGTTCAGGGCAAGAAGAATTTTAAAATGGACTGGAAGGAAGTAGCCGACAAGCTCAACCAGCTCCCCCAGGTAATACGCCAGAGCAATGAATAACAGTTAAGTTTCTATCAAAAAATTTTCCAGATTTACTACTAATTGCTTAAATTAAAATGCATAAATAAATTAGGCAGCACATCGTGCAGCACTAGTGTTACTAATATTTACTTGAATACATAAGCTTGACCTGGTGAAAAATCTGTCTTCAGAAATCCTAGAACGGGATATATTCTCCAAATTTTTTCTGCAGATTTTATACTCTTATTACATTTAAAATCTGCAATGTTACACTTTATATCTATGGACATAATATAAAAAAATCCACAAAACATAACAATAATCATCACATTTATTAACTAAAGAAATGACAAAACATGCCTTTTAATAATAAAAATAAAGTTACTTCGCCTAATATAGAAGTAAAGCATTCCGTCAGGAGAGCCTACGAACATGTCTTCATCTACGTAACTTTTCTAAGAAATGTCTAACGCTTATCTCATCATTAATAAGTTGCAGTTGAGTGTTATGGATAAACTGGTCATGTTGAATATGTTTTTTGTGTCGTTTATTTAAACTTCAATTGTTTTTTATTTGGATGCTGTGCACATAAGGTGCTATGATATGATATGATGCGTCTGAGTTTAAAATGTTAAGTAATTGGTGTAAGTTTTTCTTGCCAACTTCATCATTGATCGTAAAATGCCACGATTCTAAATAATTTGTCGTGCGATGTCGTTGGCTAAATACGCAGATTTTATTAACATTGTTGTTAAGCCAGTTTTTTGACATATATTTCTTAAATTTACGCATCGCTTGCATATCATTGTGTTCCTCCATTTCATTCAATATATAACTCCAACCATCTAAAATCCGTTCTTCGGGTAGAAGTGGCAGCATTTTGCAAAGCGATAATATTCTGTATGTCTTTAATTTGAGAGATTTTGCTTTTCTTTTTAGAGTCTCACAATAGTGAAAGTAGCCTCTGCTTCTTAATATTTTAGGAAAAACGGCTCGTAAAGCTTTCATCATAGCGTCCTCATAATCAGTTTTAAATTACGTAGGTTCCCAGTTAGTTATCTGACTTTTTATTAATTGTAATAATGTTACGTAAGTTTCAGTTCTTTTGTCTGGGAGGAAGGCATAAATAACGGCTATTACGTTTGTAGTTTGCTGAGAACTATCTAGATCGCAATGAATGGTATACAACTGAAGAAAGGGTAACGGGGTTATTTCAAATGTGCCATCACTGAGATATTGCTGTTTTTCAGCCATAGTTTTTCTTGCATGCCTAGATTTAAATACTAAAATTCTTGCACCGTCATCGCGAAAGTAATCAGCCAGTAGAAATGAATCAAATTTGGACGGCACCTCTACGTCAGCAAACGTTTTGTGGTATAGTTTTTCAACACCTAACTCCTTATTGCGATATCGGTATAACGTTGACTTTACATCTCCGAATTTCGGTAATTTATTAATGAAGTTATTACCTGCATTTTCCAATGAACTTACTGCATTTTTGTAGACTCTAGTCACTGATATCGAGTCTTCACTGACTTTTTTCTTACATTCGTAAAACTTTAGGTCTATCTCATTTTTAGCAAAGTCTTGAGCACATGTTATTATGTTTGGTGTTGCTTTCACTTCTTTCTTATCCCTAATGGTTACCGATCCAGTGCATTTGTTTTTCTTATATTGAGCACATCGCCATATTACGCTTGCATCTTTATATATTATATTTAACATTAGTACTCTTCCTCTTCGTCTTTTCATCACGTTAATTTCAGACATAACACTATATTATGTGAAATTGCCAAATATTTATTATATTTAATTTTAATTTTATTCAGTGACAAGGCGTCATTCATACAAATGTTTAAACAAAATGTTTTTTATGTTTGGCCATAGACTAACCAATAATATTAGATCTATATGGTCTAACTGAGTACCTCCTCCTTTTTTAAGTCGGTAGAAGAATATAAACAAGAACTATCCTACTTCCTCTTGCAGGTTTATGCTTGCCTAGTACTATTCCTAAAATATACTACTAAAGTACTGATAAAAATTTCCATGTATTTTATAGATTAGTACTACTGAGAATATTTTTTGCGGTGTAAGTCTACTTGGTAAAAACATTTCCAGTAGTTTTACTTAAGAGATTATTTGGTAAGACTACTGGGAATTCAACACGCCACAAAGATTCCCAATAGACTTACTCGTAAGACTATTGGGAAGTTTCCATTAGGACATTCCCATTAGTCTTACCAGTAAGACTACTGGGAAGAATATTCCCAGTAGTCTTACTAGTAAGACTACTGGGAAGAATATTCCCAGTAGTCTTACTAGTAAGACTACTTGGTAAGACTACTGGGAATACCCCATTTGTATATATTTTATTAATTAAGATTGCTTTTAATTTTGCTATAGGAACCGTTGTTCATTTACAGAATTGTTAAGAAATTAAATATGCATTATAAAACTTTCCAATTAAATGGTGCAAGAAGCGGAAAAAATGATAACAAGAAAAGGCTATTCGTAACAATATTTCCCTTAGATGATGAAAGGTATGTGGTGATTTCAACTTTAATAGTAATATGATATTCAACGCAAGTATATTTTTGGACTAGCCATCTATGTAGGACATGTTTTTATAGTGTACGATTGTGTGCACAAATACAAACACACTATTAACTAAATCTGATAGTTCGATGGTTTGGCAATCCGAAACGAACTATACTTAGAAACTACAAGTCAATTCTGATTTTATTTATATTATTTTTTCAGATGCAAGCAATGGGTGAAATAGCTGGCACATGCACCAATTGAAAAGATTCACGTGTTAAGACATGTTTGTGACAAACATTGCATATGAACCCAACTAAAACGAACTGTTATTTCTTTAGTGGACTTACTTTAAACTTGTACAATTTATGTGTATGTTAATTATGTTTCATTTACATGTAGCAAAAGATAATATCCCTCTAAAGTCACATTTTGGCAAGAATTAGATTATGTAACTAAATCATTATTTTATTCATCAATAAACATTTAGCTTTAATGAGCACTTATAGCGAATGGTATGTACATAGGTGCCTCTGTGAAGAAGCCTAGCGATTTGTACGTAGTATTTGTTACACATAAAAGCAATTTAATCCAATCAGTATTAAAAACCCAATATTTTTACCTTTAAAAAAAACTAACGTTGAAAACATGCATCCAGACGCAGACTATTTATTTTACAGCATAGCAACAATTGTTCAGTGCGGGAAGGAAGCCTCGGTCCTGCAATGCCGCAGCCAAACGCCTTAGCCACTGCGCTACGGAGTTGTCATTTATTTTTTACTTAATTAATTACTAGTATAAAAGTGCGTTTTTTATTTTATATTTTCTTTATACATGCTTTTGTACCTAATTGTTGAGATATAAATACAAATTGCTGTGTGTAAAATACATTGATTTCTTATCCTCATCGGCATTTTTACTCAATCCACACGTTAAAAATTTTATTTCACATAAATAATTTCGTATAGAGATCTAACTTTTCTTATGTAAAAATATCGATAAACAAATATATCGATAAAATTATTCGAGAATAGACATTTACAGCACTATTGTAATTCGTCAATGTTGTCAGCACTGTTTCTCAAAACTAAATGTCATATCTTGATGTTGGTAGAGTAACTTGGCGTAATTTTTTCACGCAATTATTTTTACTATGGAAGTCCCGCCTCTTAAACGTAGTGATTATATTCTCTTTGACATATATATTTATCTATGAGTCCGGTTTGTTGATGAAAAAGAATTCAATAATCAATTTTAATCATAGATAAATATATATGTAGCAAGCTAATTAATAAAGCTATAGACACAGACTACTTAGTGGATACGCTATAGAAAACAGCAATGGCCTTTAGTGAAGGTGAAGTTTGTAGAATTTGTTTAAGCGTTAATATACGCATGTTTGCACTAAAGGAGACTGGCCTCCAAAATTTGTATAAGACATTGACGAACAGTTTTGTAAGTTTTTTAATATTTATTTATTGCTAAATGAAGTTGCGGTAATTTGTTGTTATCACTGGAGAAATACATTATAATGCCCGATATATGTTCTAAGATGTAGCGTTAGATATAGTGACAAATACAACCAGAACCTGAAAAATAACAATTAGCCTGATATCCTGTTCATATCATCTTGCGGGACAAAATGGCCCCTAGTGTATCTGGGTCTTAGTTTAGTATAGTTTACGACGGGCTGATTTCCGCAACTCCACGTCTATGTTCGTATTTTGCATGTGGGCAGGAATAATATGCTTATTCGAGCCATGAGATCTCCCCGAAGAAGCTCAACAGTCCTTTGATGTTGCATGCAACTTCGGGGAGTGATCTCGGCTCGAGATGTTTAGCCCTGTACATAGCGACCTCCGGACATTTCAATATCACATGGGCCGCCGTTTCTTCTTTCCCCAGACATGCGCTGCACAGGGGACTATCTGTAACACCTATAGTAAATAAATGCTTGTTAAAGTTGCCATGTCCTGTGATAGCACTTGTTACTATCTTGATCTGTGGCTTGTTCAGTCTCATTAGAACTTTGGTCAAACGACTGTTTATTTCAGGTAGGGCCTCCCTAGCTTGTCTACAGTCTACTAAATTTTTCCAAAGCTGAGCGTGTAGATTAGTGAAGTGTCAAATATCTGGGTCTTAATTGTACTACATTCTCCTTTCATTCCTTCCAAGCAACCCGTACTGCTGCATAGATTTTGTTCTTGGTGTCTGTTCTAGTACATATTACTTGAATGACTATTATTGTGATTTTCTATCAAGAAATTAACATTTACCCTGGTTTGGTTGTTCAGCAAATTAAAACAGTTCTATCGGACTATTAAAATGAGAGAATAGAGTAGAAAGAATTATTATCATTATTTTATATGTGGTAGAGCCAGGCTGCAGCTATATTATGGTTGTATCATGGATTGGCCAGCTTGACCGGGGTGGTACTACACTTTTACAGAATGTGTAGTACTACCCACCACCCTGTGTTTTGTTTCAATATCCTCCTACCACAAGCATTATCAGTTTACTGAGAGTGATAAGAGAAGTTTTTGTAATGTTCTTAGTGATGATAGCAGTTTGAAGTTAATGTAGGTAATGTAGTTGATGGATGTAGGTGGCTTGGAACTGTAGGAGTTTCTTTCTGCCTAGATATCATCCTCTTACCATTTTCTGGCACCAAGCAGCAGTATGTGTCCCAGTCTGAAGGACATCGAGAGCCAGGCTGTGATGCATTACATCTTATTCCTCAGAGGTAACATTGCATCTGTAGCCATTGCTTGAAGTTTGTTGCAGGTGCCCATGATGCCCATTAGTCACTTACTAGATGGTAAGTTTATTTGTCACTTCAATATTATAAAATATGATGTTGACAAATTAAAATGTGGTAGCCAATAATCTTTATTATAAACTTATAAACAGTAGAACGCCGATTATCCGAATTAATTGGGACTGGGGTCGATTCGGATAATCGGACATAGACTGGTATGTAATATAGAAAAACAAACTGTCACACATAGAATAAACTTTATTAAGTTTATAAATGGTTTTACACTTTATAAAGTTTTATAAAGAGTAAAACCAGCTACATCCATTTTTTCACTGAACATTCGTGACTTTTCACATAAAATCGATCCTGAAATCTGTTGTCCAATAGATCGTTGCTGCAGAAACCACGTAAAAACAGCATTCTCAAGCTGTTCATCTTTTGCCTTTTTCATTACTTTTCGCGACGAACATCCATCACCACTTTCCAATGCGGTCACAAAACTTAAAATTTTTTCACTGTTATTTTTAATATCAGTTAACCAAGTATTGTATAAGTAATCTTAGTAATGTTACTTACTGTACTTGGTTATAATTTTTTATATTAAGCTTAGGACCCATTCGGATAATTGGGGATTCGGTTAATCGGCATTCGGATAATCAGTGTTCTACTGTATTTGAATACTATTTCATATTTATGAAGATTTTCATATTTTCAGTTGGATGAGATTGAGGGGCCAATAATTGTCTGTTTCACCTGTCATGCAAGACTCATTCGTTGCAGAAGATTACAACAACAGGCTATTGAGTCAAATGTGGTTCTGGAGCAGTTGCTTTCAGGAGGATCCATGGTATTATCCATTCCATCCATTAAAACCTATAAAAGCCCACTGCTGAACATAGGTCTCACTCATAGATTGCTTCATAGGAGGGATTTTGCAAAATTTGCCACACTTGGCAAGTTTGCAACCGTAGTTTATATTAGTCTAAGTTGTCATCAGGAAGATGCGATCGCCCTACCTCTGTTTCTGTTTCCTTCTGTTGCCTCTTACGACACCCATCCCGTGGATAGGTATATAGGATAGTGCAGGGGTCGGCAACCTGCGGTTCGCGAGTCACATGCGGTTCTTTGGATGTGGAGCTGCGGTTCTTTAGTTTCATACGCAAATATTATTTATTTTATAAAAAAAAATTATAAATCGATCCATACTGAGCCATTTGGGGTTGATACTGGATCTCTAGAAATGCAATTGATCAATTTAAAAAGTAAAGCTTTGTGTAGTTGAAAATTTACAGAGTTGATAAGGAAGTTGAAACAGTTGGAGGTCCAGTACGTAATGCAATAAAAATGAACAGCTTTAAAAGAAATGCTGCGAGTTGAGTTATATTCGACGCATGGAATTGTCTTCCAGATTGATATAGTGAGGTGAAGAAGTTGGCATTTGGAGTGCTGACTATCTTCGGATGGACATATTCGTGCGAGCAAGAGTTCTCTTGCATGAAGATAATTAAAAGTAAAGTAAGAAGCCAACTACCAAATGAAAATTCAGATTCGTGTTTGAAACTTAAAACAACAAGCTATGAGCCAAATTTATCCAAACTTTCTAAAACCATGCAAAGCCAAAACTCCCATTGAATTTGTTTGCTTAATTGTTTGTACTTGAAGTATAAGTTAGTGTTGTAAGACTTACAATGTAAATAAATGTTTGTTTTAATTTTTTACTTAAATAATAAGTGATTATCTAATAATACCATATATATATATATATAAAAGGTTGCCGACCCTGTGATAGTGGATATTCTTACACCGTCACTGCACAATCCACTTTTCTATGCTGCTTCCCATTGCTATATGGGAGAATGTTTCTAGTGCAAAGTTAAGTTTGTCCTTCAATCCAACTTACTTTTGTTAGAGCAATAGTACTTATTTTTACAAAAACATTTATCAAACTGTTTATACTGTTATATATTACCCTATTGTATATAAACAAATCTCAATAAACAAAGTTAAATCTTTATCAATTTACAGCTTTCGTGAATCTGAATCCAAAAGTTGTTGAGACTCGATTCTCAGGATAGATGAACTATGTACATTCTTATTTAAGTTTACGCTGAACCCTCACTTATGTCCGGTGTTTATTATTAATTGAAGTTGTTGTCAGGAAGATGCTGCCCCCCGATCTCCTGTTTCAGTTTCCCTCTGCCCCTTTTTACGACATCTGCGGGATGGCAGGGGGTAGTATGGGTTCTCCTACTCCACCACTATATTGTCTTTTTCTCTTATTTGAAAAAATTATTTCCTTTCAGTCAATACCAAAACCGCATAAGGTTAGAGGTGAGATTAAATTCACACCAATTTATCATATAGATATCTGGCCTGTAGCTAGTGATATAGACAATGATTGCAAGGACGAATTTTTTTGCTTTGATGCCGTTAAAGTTGAGGAAGAGATTTTCGAATATGAGAATTCCAAATTGGAAGAAAATGAGAATCATGAAACAGGTTAGATATACCCCTTTTTTATATTATTAAAATAAGGTACAATTTACCTTATGGCAAGTGGTTACTGTAGCCCGTAGACACATCGTGTGTAATGTACTGATTAACTGATTTGCCTTTGTCTAAATTCTAAGTGCATGTCAAAAGCGCTCTTATTAATACATTAAAAAAATATTTTTACCCTGTCAGCTAGTATGTATGTCACTAAGATACATACTGGTAAGCAACCAATTATCTTTGCCATCTTCTTAGTGTCAGTACTAGGTGGTGTGACTCCATATTTGCCTAGGAGTTGATCTATTTGTGCCTGCCTAGATGGACTCCTCCCTCCTCCTCTTACCTATTTCTGCCGTCAAATAGTGTTCCATTCTGATGGGTATAGAGTCAGAATAATCACAGGCTGTGGGTCATTCCATTTTAGTTGTGGTAGTACCATGCTGCAGCTACATTAGTAGTATAGTTATAGCACGAATGGGTCGGCTCGACCGGGGAAGGACCACGCTCTCACAGAATACCAGCGTGAAATAACAGCTTAACACTGCTGTGTTTTGTATGGTGATTGTAGGGAACGGGATACCCTTTTTACTGGAAAAGAGGCATTCCATCGTAGTCCTCATGGGTGACAATGCATCTGCATTTTGATTCTTTATTGAGGACAGATGTAGATGTCTATGGGTCACAGCGACCATTTACCATTGTGTGGACTGCGTGCTCGTTTGTCACCCTATCCTATAAAAATTAAAATGAAAAGATGAGCGCATTGCATCATTAAATCTTCATCATTACAGCCTTCACAAGTCCACTGCTGAACATAGGTCTCAGCCACGGAATTTTCTGCCATTGCCTTCCTGCATTTCTTACCAGTTCATCATTCCATCTAATGGAGGGCCGCCCTACACTTTGTCTACTGGTACGAGGCTGCCACTCGTAAAACTTCCTCATTCATTGTCATTTCTTCGAGTTATATGGCCGGAATTTCAAATTCCAAAGAATTAATTCAGCATTTGAAACCATGATGTTGAAAGTAACTACAACAGAAGTGAGACGACGGGCCCGTGCTTGTGTTAGTAATCGCATCAATTATTTTGAGCATCAACAAATAAATAATTAGAATTTTTATTAGTCTGCCTAAAAATTTAAATTTTCTACCTCAATCTGGTTTTAGGGGACAATTGAAAAATTTGTAACAAATGCGTGTAAGTTATACCTCAAATGAAAGAGTTATAACCAAGCATGTTTTCAAAAAGATTCTAACAATAAATTAAAGTACCATCAGTTTTTTTTAACGTAGTGTCAAAAATGTTTATTATTTAAAATGTTAATTATGTTTCTTTAAATCCTAGAAAATTTTCGTGAACTTAGTGTCTGTACAAAAATATGTCTGATGACACAGATGCTGAGACTATGTTTTCTTAGATTTCTTATTCATTACTTAAATTAAAAAAAACAGATGTTAATTAAATTGGCAATTATTAGCAATTAACTGTAAAAATTTTAGTTTTATCACCAACAACAAAAAGTATAGTCAGACTTTGTCTAAAATAAGTAAGGCCTAAATGATCTTCAATCAACAAGTCAATCTTCCAATCATTCTGTATAATGCTTGTCCCGTGTGCGATTCGAAGCATCTATTATTAGATTAATGTAGGTAATTGTAACATGGTGAGAAGAACGTCATCATTATCTTTCCAATTTAGTTTCTCTACCATTCTTTCCCTCCAAAAATAATTATGAGAGACATTATTAAAAGTAAAATACTTTATATCTAGCAACATTGTATAATTATGTAATTTTATAATTTATCTATTTCTCCCTGGTTGACTGATAGAGAATGCGTTTAAGGTGTCTTACAATAAAAAGTTTTACTTATAATAAATTAAATGTTCAATTCGCGTGTATTTCAGAACCATACATCATACCGACAAATCATTTTTCAAAAGCGTCTGAGAGCAAGATTAAATCAAATTCTACTGATTGTAATTGTAACATAAACGATGTTCGTAAAGGAAACCTCGATTTAGAAAGCCCTACTATTAAATCAAAACCTAAAGTCAAAAAAGATAATCAACCAATTAATAAAAAAGGAAAGCATCCTGCAAATATTATGAGAAAGAAAATATTGAAACAAAAGAGTGTAAATATACTTACGAGAAAAACATCAGGGGCATCAACAAAATACATTTTTGAATGTGATGGTTGTAGCAAAAAATTTTCAACAAGAGACATTCTCGCCAAACACATTTCATACAGTCATAAGACGCAAAAGAACCAAAAGAACACCACTGCAGTTCGGACACAAGTTGAACAAACTCCAGTACCACAACCACAAGTAACGGAAATATTTAATTGTGATATTTGCGAATTTAAAACAACTCAAAAACGTTGCATTTTGGCACATCTTAAAGCGCACGTCGCTGAACAAGTGTACTGTTGTAATGATTGTGATTATAAAAGTATTAAAAAAGATCGTTTGCAGAGACATATGAAAATACATACTGGAGAAAAACTTTTTTCATGTAATATCTGTGGATATAAATGTATTGATAAAAGTAATTTGCGGTATCATATGAAAATTCATACTGGAGAAAAACCTTTTTCGTGTCATATCTGTAAATATAAATGTATTCAAAAAAGTAGTTTACAAACACATATGAAAATACATACTGGAGACAAACCTTTTTCGTGTCATATCTGTAAATATAAATATATTCAAAAAAGTAGTTTGCAAACACATATGAAAATACATACTGGAGAAAAACCTTTTTCATGTAATATCTGTGAATATAAATGTATTAGAAAAGATGTGTTGCAAACACATATGAAAATACATACTGGAGAAAAACCTTTTTCGTGTCATATCTGTAAATATCAATGTATTCAAAAAAGTAGTTTACAAACACATATGAAAATACATACTGGAGAAAAACCTTTTTCATGTAATATCTGTGAATATAAATGTATTAGAAAAGATGTGTTGCAAACACATATGAAAATACATACTGGAGAAAAACCTTTTTCGTGTCATATCTGTAAATATCAATGTATTCAAAAAAGTAGTTTACAAACACATATGAAAATACATACTGGAGAAAAACCTTTTTCGTGTCATATCTGTAAATATAAATATATTCAAAAAAGTAGTTTGCAAACACATATGAAAATACATACTGGAGAAAAACCTTTTCCATGTAATATCTGTGAATATAAATGTATTAGAAAAGATGTGTTGCAAACACATATGAAAATACATACTGGAGAAAAACCTTTTTCGTGTCATATCTGTAAATATCAATGTATTCACAAAAGTAGTTTGCAAAGGCATATGAAAATACATACTGGAGAAAAACCTTTTTCATGTAATATGTGTGAATATAAATGTATAGAAAAAAGTAATTTGCAAAGGCATATGAAAATACATACTGGAGAAAAACCTTTTTCATGTAATATCTGTGAATATAAATGTAAAGAAAAATGTGATTTGCAAAGGCATTTGAAAATACATACTGGAGAAAAACCTTTCTCATGTAATATCTGTGAATATAAATGTATAGAAAAAAGTAGTTTGCAAACACATATGAAAATACATACTGGAGAAAAACCTTTTTCATGTAATATCTGTGAATATAAATGTATAGAAAAAAGTAGTTTGCAAACACATATGAAAATACATACTGGAGAAAAACCTTTTTCGTGTCATATCTGTAAATATAAGTGTATTACAAAAAGTAATTTGCAAAGGCATATGAAAATACATACTGGAGAAAAACCTTTTTCGTGTCATATCTGTAAATATAAATGTATTAGAAGAGATATGTTGCAAACACATATGAACATACACTCTTGAGCAGAACCTTTTTTGTGAGAGATCTGGTAAAATATGTGCAATATTATGTAAACGTGTTTTATATAAATATAAAAGTATACTAGATAAAAATTCATTTGTCATGAGTTCCTTATGTAACTGTAGAACGAGTAGAAAAACCTTTCCGTGTCATATGTGCTAATTGAAACTGCATTTATTCTGAAGAAGTTAATTCAAAAACCAAAGAAGCAACCAAGTGAAATCGAACCTTGAAATATGGGGGTATTCCCAGTAGTCTTACCAAGTAGTCTTACTAGTAAGACTACTGGGAATATTCTTCCCAGTAGTCTTACTAGTAAGACTACTGGGAATATTCTTCCCAGTAGTCTTACTGGTAAGACTAATGGGAATGTCCTAATGGAAACTGCCCAATAGTCTTACGAGTAAGTCTATTGGGAATCTTTGTGGCGTGTTGTATTCCCAGTAGTCTTACCAAATAATCTCTTTAGTAAAACTACTGGAAATATTTTTACCAAGTAGACTTACACCGCAAAAAAATTCTCAGTAGTACTAATCTATAAAATACATGGAAATTTTTATCAGTACTTTAGTAGTATATTTTAGGAATAGTACTAGGCAAGCATAAAGTTGCAAGAGGAAGTAGTATAGTTCTTGTTTATATTCTTCTACCGACTTCAAAAAGGAGGAGGTACTCAGTTAGACCATATAGATCTAATATTATTGGTTATATATATATATATAGTTCAGGGCAAGAAGAATTTTAAAATGGACTGGAAGGAAGTAGCCGACAAGCTCAACCAGCTCCCCCAGGTAATACGCCAGAGCAATGAATAACAGTTAAGTTTCTATCAAAAAATTTTCCAGATTTACTACTAATTGCTTAAATTAAAATGCATAAATAAATTAGGCAGCACATCGTGCAGCACTAGTGTTACTAATATTTACTTGAATACATAAGCTTGACCTGGTGAAAAATCTCTTCAGAAATCCTAGAACGGGATATTTTCTCCAAATTTTTTCTGCAGATTTTATACTCTTATTACATTTAAAATCTGCAATGTTACACTTTATATCTATGGACATAATATAAAAAAATCCACAAAACATAACAATAATCATCACATTTATTAACTAAAGAAATAACAAAACATGCCTTTTAATAATAAAAATAAAGTTATTGAACCTAATATAGAAGTAAAGCATTCCGTCAGGAGAGCCTACGAACATGTCGTCATCTACGTAACTTTTCTAAGAAATGTCTAACGCTTATCTCATCATTAATAAGTTGCAGTTGAGTGTTATGGATAAACTGGTCACGTTGAATATGTTTTTTGTGTCGTTTATTTAAACTTCAATTGTTTTTTATTTGGATGCTGTGCACCTTATGATATGATGCATCTGAGTTTAAAATGTTAAGTAATTGGTGTAAGTTTTTCTTGCCAACTTCATCATTGATCGTAAAATGCCACGATTCTAAATAATTTGTCGTGCGATGTCGTTGGCTAAATACGCAGATTTTATTAACATTGTTGTTAAGCCAGTTTTTTGACATATATTTCTTAAATTTACGCACCGCTTGCATATCATTGTGTTCCTCCATTTCATTCAATATATAACTCCAACCATCTAAAATCCGTTCTTCGGGTAGAAGTGGCAGCATTTTGCAAAGCGATAATATTCTGTATGTCTTTAATTTGAGAGATTTTGCTTTTCTTTTTAGAGTCTCACAATAGTGAAAGTAGCCTCCGCTTCTTAATATTTTAGGAAAAACGGCTCGTAAAGCTTTCATCATAGCGTCCTCATAATCAGTTTTAAATTACGTAGGTTCCCAGTTAGTTATCTGACTTTTTATTAATTGTAATAATGTTACGTAAGTTTCAGTTCTTTTGTCTGGGAGGAAGGCATAAATAACGGCTATTACGTTTGTAGTTTGCTGAGAACTATCTAGATCGCAATGAATGGTATACAACTGAAGAAAGGGTAACGGGGTTATTTCAAATGTGCCATCACTGAGATATTGCTGTTTTTCAGCCATAGTTTTTCTTGCATGCCTAGATTTAAATACTAAAATTCTTGCACCGTCATCGCGAAAGTAATCAGCCAGTAGAAATGAATCAAATTTGGACGGCACCTCTACGTCAGCAAACGTTTTGTGGTATAGTTTTTCAACACCTAACTCCTTATTGCGATATCGGTATAACGTTGACTTTACATCTCCGAATTTCGGTAATTTATTAATGAAGTTATTACCTGCATTTTCCAATGAACTTACTGCATTTTTGTAGACTCTAGTCACTGATATCGAGTCTTCACTGACTTTTTTCTTACATTCGTAAAACTTTAGGTCTATCTCATTTTTAGCAAAGTCTTGAGCACATGTTATTATTTGTGGTGTTGCTTTTACTTCTTTCTTGTCCCTAATGGTTACCGATCCAGTGCATTTGTTTTTCTTATATTGAGCACATCGCCATATTACGCTTGTATCTTTATATATTATATTTAACATTAGTACTCTTCCTCTTCGTCTTTTCATCACGTTAATTTCAGACATAACACTATATTATGTGAAATTGCCAAATATTTATTATATTTAATTTTAATTTTATTCAGTGACAAGGCGTCATTCATACAAATGTTTAAACAAAATGTTTTTTTTGTTTGGCCATAGACTAACCAATAATATTAGATCTCTATGGTCTAACTGAGTACCTCCTTTTTGAAGTCGGTAGAAGAGTATAAACAAGAACTATCCTACTTCCTCTTGCAAGTTTATGCTTGCCTAGTACTATTCCTAAAATATACTACTAAAGTACTGATAAAAATTTCCATGTATTTTATAGATTAGTACTACTGAGAATTTTTTTTGCGGTGTAAGTCTACTTAGTAAAAATATTTCCAGTAGTTTTACTTAAGAGATTATTTGGTAAGACTACTGGGAATACAACACGCCACGAAGATTCCCAATAGACTTACTCGTAAGACTATTGGGCAGTTTCCATTAGGACATTCCCAGTAGTCTTACCAGTAAGACTACTGGGAATACCCCGAAATATGTACCGAGTGGTTAGTGGAAACAGACCATACTTCATGTTTTTTTTTTATTTTATATAATTCATACTAGTTTGTTTTTATTTATTCGTTTCGACATTTATCGTTACCGTTACAGCCTATAAAAAAGTCCGCTGCTGAACATAGGCCTCCCCCACGGATTGACTCATAGGGGGGATATTTGCCATAGTTGCCATGCATGTTGGGTTGGCAACTGCGGTTTTTTATTTTTATTTGTATAGATTAGGACGCCGTGTCTCATCTGGTGTGTCCTGAGAGGCGACAGAGAGAAAAATCAGGAGACGTGTAGCAGCGTCTTCGTAATAAAATAAATAAAACTGTGTTGCCAACCCGCTTGCCAAGCGTGGCAACTATGGCAAATATCCCTATATCCCTAGGCCTATGTTCAGCAGTCGACTTTAACAATAACGATAAACGATGAAACGAAAAAAGAAAACATTAGCAATCATTTAAATAAAAAAAAACATGGTCTCGTCTGTTTCCACTAACCTCCCATTTGTTTCATATTTGAAAATTCAATTTTTTTGGTTTTTGAATCAGCTTCTTCAGAATAAATGCAGTTTCAATTAGCACACAGGGCACGGAAAGGTTTTTCTACTCGTTCTATTATTCTACACAAGATGACTTTTGTAGTCGAGTTATTAATTTATTTTCTACTAGCTGTTCCACGCGACTTCGCCCGCGTGTTATTTGGGGTTTTTATTTTTTTGCGCGGAACCCTAATTCTTTTTCTAAAATAAAAGTAGCCTAGCTTATTAGCCGTGGCAGCTAACTATAAATTAAAGTGAAAGACATTTACAACACTAATTTTGTTTTTTTTTTAAATCTTAGGTTTACTTTGATCTTATAGATTATCTTACGCTAATGAAGGAAATGATTTTTTGTTTATTTTAACGTGTGAACATTGTTTTTATTAGGTTGCTGTTACCGTTACAGTCTATTACACTGCTGGACATAGGCCTCCCCCATATATTGCGTCATAGGGGGGACATTTGGCACAGTCGCTACACTTGGCAAGCTGGTGGGTTTATTTTTATTTTAGTCGATATTAGGAAGGCGCTGCTGCACACCTCCTGATTTGTGTCCCTCTTTCACTTCTTACGACACCCACAGGATGATATGGGCTAGTGTATTTTCTTACACAGTGTTTTTACTGGTTGAATATTACTAGAGAAGAATGACCTCATGGATATTTCGAAATTCACATTTTTAGACCTCATCATCATCAAATGTGGTAGATCCATGCTGCACGAATGGGTCAGCTAGACCGAAGAAGGACCACGCTCTCACAAAATACCTGCGTAAAATGCTGCTGTGTTTCGTATGGTGAGTGTAGAGAACGGGAGACCCTTTTACTAGAAAAGAGGCATTCCATCTTAGTCCTTGCGGCTGACAACGCATATGTATTTTGACATATAGGAGATTGGCGTTTTGTTAAAGTATGCACCGTTGTTATCTATGCACTTTTGCCATCTCATAGGTAGTTCATTGATTCCTTTACTAAAACAATCATGGGGGCGAAAATCAATAAACTCTGAAGGCGGTTTGGACTGCCGCATCGGAGTTGATTTTTTTTTCCTTGTAAGAAGTTGTCCAAATTCCGAAAAAAATCTGTTGGAGCAAGGTCCGGGGAGTACGGTGGATGTCGCAGACATTCCAATTGTAGCTCATCTAACTTAGTGGTTGTTTGTTGTGCAGTGTGTGGTCTTCCGTTGTCATGAAGCAGCAGTGGCCTAGAGCGATTGACCAATCTCATTTGTTTAGCAGCTAGCTCTTCCTTCATGGTTTACAGTTGCTGACAATAGATACCTGCCGTAATCTTTTGGCCAGATTTTAGAAAGCTGCGCTCCGGCGCTCTACCACCAAACACTCACAAGTAACTTTTTCTGAGTCAATTTTCGTTTAAGTCCGGATTTGGCTGGGTCTCCAGGGTTTATCCATTGCCAGGAGCGCTTCCGATTATCGTACAGTATCCACTTTTCATCACAAGTAATGATTCGATTTAAAATCCCTTCATTATTGTGTCGGTTGAGCAAA